CACGTGACGTTAGATGAATTCGAGGAAAGAAGGACAGAGCAGACGTACCGTGTCGTAGCCGAAGAGGAAGCCACCGATGGTGGAGCAGAGCGTGAGTAGATACAAGTAGAGCGGATTGCCCTCTTTTGGCAGCATTGCATCTGCCTTGGGCAGCAGGGGAGCGGCTTCGTGCTGCGGAGACTTTCGCGTCGAGCATAGCGAACTTCTTGACATGTTGAAGTGAAGCTGGAAATGGCTACACACTGTATTTGATAAATTCTTCACTGGTAGTGCGTCCACCACTTGTACTGAGTCTGAAGTGGCAAATTTGCAAATGATCGGATGCGAAACGGACCGTTGGAGTTGTCGGGGTTGTTTCTTCGGGGTTCTCCGGCGTCACATACAGATTGGCCAATAGCAGCAACACAAAATGGGTTACCAGCAAATCTTAGCGTGTGTTCAAGGCAGAGCTGTCCACGTTGGTCCAAGTCCAAGTTGCAATGCACATGTCAACTTGAATTTCAACTGGTCTCGAGGAGGATACTAGTTGCCTCGCTCTTTCGTAACGAGGAAGCCGGAACCACAACGCGTTGCATTGAGTTAGAGCACTACCTCGGTGACTAGCATGTTCCTAGCGAGATTTAAACATCTGCACGAAGATCACCAAGATCACCCTACCAGAAGAGCGTCAAAACGCATGAGCGAATAGGGCTTATCTTTGCAAGTTGAGGTTTGTCGCAGTGCGCGAAGTTCGACTGTCGCGAGACAGAGTATCTTTTCAAGATGTTAATGCTATCGCAGCGCAGATTTATTAGCTTTATTCAGGCAATAACATTCTGTGAAATCATGCCGCGCTTATTCAGGCCAGCAGATGATCCTTAGTACGCGTATGGATGTTCCTCGGCGAGTACAAACACTTATAGTATTCCATGCTACCGCTGCTGCGCTGCCAGATATCACGTGAGCATTGAAAGTCTTTATTAATACTTTCCGTTTTGGACGAATTGTCGGTACACGTATCCCGGATACGGTATCCGTAATCCTGGCTGTACGGCTAGTTCGCGTTCCCTGCTTGGGTGACGTATGAAAAGTTCGTCTGTCGCCCTGAATTGATCTGCACAGTTGAAGGGCAACAAGTGTTGGACATTGATGTAAAAGCCAGCCTACGTGCAGGCGACCGGAAGCCAGACCCCCATGGATTTTATGGAAGTGTCGAGTCGACATTATTGAAGAATCCAGCTAAAACTCCTCAAATATACTTTCACTCTTTCCTTCTCGCGCACAAGTGCCCAGAACAACAACAAGATCATGAAAAGAATAAGGTCTATCAGGGTGACCCTCCCCCACTACCACCACCACACCGTGTGCCATTTTCAACGCAAGCTTCGGCAAACCAGCTTCACTTTGGCACACGTTTTATTTTAAACTTCGGAAAAATTAAGAAGAAAAAAAAAAACTTAGACACATGGGTTCAACAGAATGCTACAACGTCTCTACCAATCAGAACACAGGAGTGAATTCATCTGTGACGTGGCGCAAGTTTTCCGCAGATCAGTTGAGACTTTACCATGACGGAGACCAACTCGACACCGCTGCCTCCCTCCCCGCAGCCATCAGAGCCATCCCCTCCCCCCTCCACAGGCTCCAATGATACTGCGGCCACCGACCACCAGACAGCGTCGTCTCCGTTCCTGTACCTCCTGACGCTTTGCGCGTCCATCGGCGGTTTCCTCTTCGGCTATGACACAGTCAGTCTCCATCATTTCTCTAATACCCTCCATTTCGTGCTTTTTAAACCTCTCTGCTGTGTCTATTAGGGAGTAATTTCTGGGGCTTTAGTTTTGCTCCAGAGTCCGCAAGGGTTCGCTCTCTCTGACCTACAGAGCGAAATGGTTGTGGCCTCTGCAGTGGGTGGTGCCATCGTCGGCGCTTCACTGAGCGGCATTGGCAACGACAAACTTGGACGACGTCGAGTAATCTTAGTGTCTTCAGCATTGTTTACATTGGGAGCAGTTATCATGGCAATGGCGGAGAATTTCGTCGAGTTGCTGATCGGTCGGCTGATTGTCGGAATTGGAATCGGTTGTGCCTCCATGACAGTCCCGCTGTACATCGCAGAGGCGTCACCTCCACAAATACGAGGGTAGTTGGTGTCGCTCAATTCAGCGTTGATTACAGGTGGACAGTTCTTTGCCAGTGTATTAGATGCACTGTTGGCGGATACGGAGGGAGGCTGGAGATACATGCTGGGACTTGCAGCCATTCCTGCAATTGTGCAGTTTGCTGGGTTTTTGGTGTTGCCGGAGAGTCCTCGGTATCTTATTAGTAAAGGGAGGGACGATGAAGCACGAGCTGTGTTGCTAAAGATTCGAGGAGAGCAAGAAATTGACATGGAGTTGGGGCACATTAGAACGGAACTACAGGGATCGAAGCTTGAGGAGTCCAGTGTATGGGAAGAATTAAGATCTCCACCCGTAATGCGGGCACTTATATTAGGCTGCTTCTTGCAGTGTTTGCAGCAACTCTGTGGTATCAACACTGTCATGTACTACGGCGCAACTATTATTCAAATGGCTGGGTTTACAGACCCCACCACTGCCATTTGGTTGTCTGCGCTCGTCTCTTTCAGCAACTTTATCTTCACTTTTGTCGGTATTTATCTGGTGGAAAGACCTGGTCGTCGACTACTGACCCTCGGAAGTTTAGCAGGAGTTTTCTTGGCTCTAGTCGCTCTTGGTGGGAGTTTTTTCGTGGCTGAGATGGAGTCGGTGGAGGTCAAAGGTACGGGGGCTTGTGCAGGTTTCTCAACGTGTTTCGACTGTGTAGCGAATGCTGCTTGTGGATATTGTTCGAGTATGGAAACCAACTTGTGTATGCCAGGAGATGCGGCATCTCCCTCGCTTGGGTTCTGCTCGGGTCCAGAATGGACGTTTGATTCCTGTCCTAATGACAACAAGGGGGCGAGTTGGGCGATTCTTATCGCAATGTTCATGTATCTTGCGTTCTTTGCAAGCGGAATGGGATGCATGCCATGGACAATCAACGCTGAGATTTATCCTCTACGTGTTCGAAGCTTTGCGTTAAGCGTGTCGACTTCAGTGAACTGGGTGTCCAATCTACTCGTATCATTTACTTTTCTCTCGACTATCAACGCGTTGGAACCGTATGGGGCCTTTTGGTTGTATGCTGTTGTTTCGCTATTTGGGTTTGTATACCTGTGGAGAGAATTACCTGAGACGAAGGGTCTAGAACTAGATGAAATTCAGCGGATATTCGCTAGTCGAGTAAAGTACTCAGCGGTGAGCGATAAGTCAACTAAACACGGCCACACGCAAGATATTCAAGAAGTGCAAGACACTACCGCGTGATAGCAAGAACGCAAATAATATTTCTAGTATTTGGCTATGTGGCATGGTGGAAGTTAACCGTGCTGCGAAGTAAATTTAACCTGATTTTTCAAATATAATACTGCTGCTAACAATATCTGCTGGGAATTTTGCGACAACTTGCCAAAACAGAGATTTCCATCCTCCTCAATGATGATATTGGAAATCTCAATCTGAAAATCGTTCTGCGAGTGTGTGCGACGGAAGTAAATCATGCTTACCAAGACTTCTCAGACCGACGTATTTATTGGGCTCGTGTAAATCTTCACAGTATCGTTATTGTAGGACAAAATGATAAAATCGATAAACATGTTCGAGGCGACATACATTACTTCGAAGTTCGTTTGGTTTTAGTTATAATACGAGCACGGCAAATAACTGGATCCGACATTCATGCGTGTGTGTTGGGGGAGGGGGGACATCAACCCAAGCCGAATCACTCAACAGTGACCCAAACAAGTCGAACGCGGCCTAAAGTTTGCAAATATCCGACAGTTAGTTTTGAAAGACAATCGTTCACTCATCGGGGATTGAACGTACCTTCGAGTCCATCTTCAGGTTGTTCCGGCGAGTCGTAGGGGAGCATGGAGTTCTTTCTGGCATCAGACATCAGACGTCGCCGCAAAGTCTCGCGAGTTGAAAGCGGACGAATTCTGCCCCATCGCTTCACTGGACGTTCGAACGCGCTAGACTGACACCATTCTCTCCACATCTCCGTATAATATTTCGGTGATTCTTGTTCGTCATCGGATGCTCTGGTTGTTGCAGCGTCAAGTTCAGAACCGTCCTCTTTCTCGATGCAGATATCGGCGTGACTGTCATGGTTGAAATCTTCCTCAGTCGTTGAGAGTTGGGAAAATCTGTTGTGCTTGCGAGGGAGGCGATGCACGAGGACCTTTTCGTCAGGTTCGCTGTCGTCATAATGAGCGTCAATAGGACGACTCAAGTCGATAGCCACGCTGTCTCCTTGCTGAGTTTTATCTCCCATGGCACCAGGCCGGTGCAGCTGGATGAGTTTATGGTTTGTGGCGTCTCGGTCATAGACATCAGCGTGGACGCGGTCAACCTGCCTCCGCTTATTGTTGGTCGCCTGCAGTTCCTGCTCCATCTCCTGTGCCGATCCAATGGCATCGGCGATAGCTACACACCATTTCTCGTATGCAACTTCATCAGGAGCTTGGAAGCGATGGCGAATGCCTCCGTGCTGGAGCATGAAGCGCAGATGCCGAAGGTCGCGCGAAGTGGGAGACACCAACCGTGTACTGGAGTCGAGAGGAATCTGCTCGATGAGGACGCGGTCGGATGAAAGAGGACGACGGCGGCTTCGTGTGACGGAAAGAACGACCACGCCGTGATGTTTGGTCCAGTGCTGTTCGAGGCTCAGTCGTAGTTGTACGTGTCGCCTGGTAGAGAGAAAAAAAAAGAGTGTGAGAATTTGGAGACAACAAGAGACTCCAGAGATTCCGTACCACACGAGGGGACACTTCTGCAACTTGAAATCATCGCCTTGGAGATTCTCCATGTTGTCGAGGAAGCTGGCAACTGGGCTTTCTTCTTCCGCGTTGCGGTGAAAGAGTGTTGGTCGGTTGTCGGGGCTTTTCGCTTATGTGGTGGAAATCGAAATGAGAGCAAAATGTGCAGATCCACTGACACTCGCGTTGAAGTTTGTAGGTCTCTGAATACACCACGTGGTTCGTACGAAGACGGGGTGGGCTAACGAATAAAGCATTGGTCATGCGGTTGGATGCATGCTGCACCCAAAAGATGCCATCCGTCCCCGTGTAGACGAAAGATCCACGGACGACTCTTTGGCGTTGTTGTGTGGAACGTTACGCTGGTACGATTTCGAGAGTATCCTTTGTTGGTTGGTCCCTATGCATGGCAAGGCATTACGATGGATCAAACAACACACACGTATTGTTTGCAATGGAAACGCCATGTGACGAAGTGTCACTCAAAGTCTACGGTTTCGACAAGTAGTCAGAACGAGTTCAGTGACTGTGAAACCTATTATTTGGTGATAATTATTCACCGATTGCAAAAAAATAGTTTTCTTCGAATCGGTCGAGTTCGCTTCAGTCGCTGCGGCCGACTCGACAGACTGTCGAAAAGAACCGGAGTTTGAGACTTTATCTGCCGAGATCGAAACGGTCTCCGATATCGGTCGTTCACCTTCGATTATCGATCAATCTTGAGTCAGAGACTGAAAGTAAACGTCAACAAGGTCCAATTTAGCTTGACCGTTCACACAAAAACTGAAGTTCAGATTTCAGTTCAGGTATGACAATCACGAAGTACGCACGTCAACGTTCTGGCCCTCACGGCGCGTGTAGGGCGCGATTCGCGCCCTCCATGAAGAGTCGACGCCATTGCAAATTGCTTTATAACAATCTGCAATGGCACCTCCATTGCTCTCCACAATTATAGACGATCGTGCATGAATTCACATGGTTGTTCAATACTAGTGGATCTAATGAGGACTTTCTGACAAAACTGCTCCCTGCCTCTTGAGTTCGACTTCGACTTCGAGCTAAGAATTAACAACATGCTCATCCTCTACTCTGTTATTTTTTTTCATGGATCCGCAGTGGAGGTAATGTGCAAACAAAAAGTACCCTCGCCGAAGTTTAGATATCCCAACCCCATGGCCGTGGTGTCAGTGATACTGAAGAAGTCGATCACTCGACAGCGAACACTTTCGATAATGCTACTGTCAGTGGAAGGGCGGGTCACGACGAAGCAAAGAAAGCTCTATCCAAGATCGAGTAGTTCTCTGCATCTTCCTCATCAGAAAATACAGCAACATCAATGGCAACAATAACACCATCGCTCTCTTTACCTTTAGTTTTTTTTATTATTTTCTTAAAGATTTACACAGTATAAAAATGTCCTCGAAGCACCATTTTGACGTTTGCTCTAAGTGATTTACTACACAAATCATTCCCTTATGCCACTTTCTTGCATCTCGAAGATACATTGGATTTCTTCGAGTTCCAATCCTTTCGTTTCTGGTAGCTCTCTCCACAGATATACAAGCCCAAAGAGTGCGAATGATGCATACAGCCAAAAAGCACCGTACGGCTCGAGCATGTCCACAACAGAGAGGAACGTAAATGACACAAGCAGGTTGAACAGCCAGTTGACCGACGTAGCGATGCTCAGAGCAAAACTGCGAACATGTAGTGGGTAGATTTCTGCGTTGATAGTCCAGGGCATGCAGCCCATGCCACTCGCAAAGCACGCCAAATAGATAAAAAGCGTCACAAATATTACCCATCCAGCCGTGCGGGATTCAGATGGACACGACTCGAAGCTCCAGTTGGAATTTGTACAAGATCCTTGAATTGTTGAGGTCGTTGTTCCGGGCAGACACAGATTTTCTGTCATAGCTGATATCTCCGATATTTTTCCCTCCGAGCAGAATCCACACGTCGTACTGGTAATACAGTCCAAGCAGGTAGAATACTGGGAGCATTCACCGACTCCAATAGATTCCACGGATTGCAACTCGGCGGCGTAAAAGCTCGCGCCAAGTGCCGTAAGGGACAAAATAATGCCGAATAAACTCCCGAGCGTGAGCAAACGTCGACCTTTACGATCCACGAGGTAAATACCTACGAAAGTAAAGATGAAGTTACTGAATGACACAAGAGCCGAGAGCCAGATGGCCGTAGTTGGCTCGGTGAAGCCTGCAAGCTGAATGATGGTAGCTCCGTAGTACATGACCGTGTTGATCCCGCAGAGTTGTTGGAGAGCCTGCAGGAAGCAGCCAAGTCCTAGTGCCCGAAGCACTGCAGGAGAGCGAATGGCATCCCAGATATCCACATTCTCCTCTTCAGAGCGTAAAATCTCAGCCTTAATGTGATCGACTTCAGTCTGAACGTCATTGGTACCTCGGATCTGTTTTAATGCTGTCCATGCTTCATCCATTCTCCCTTTACTAATCAAATATCTTGGACTCTCAGGCAACAACAAAAATCCAAAAAACTGCACGAATGCTGGAATAGCTGCCAGTCCGAGCATGTATCTCCATCCGTTGTCCATATCTGCCAGCAGCGCATCTAGAACTCCAGAAAAAAACTGCCCACCAGTTACCAATGCCGTATTAAGCGACACCAATCGACCGCGAATGTCCGGTGGTGATACCTCTGCGATGTAAAGCGGCACTGTCATAGAGGCGAAACCAATGGCAATCCCGACGATGAGCCTGCCGAACAGCAACTCAACAAAAGTTTCAGCCATAGCCATGGAAAATGAGCCAGTGGCAAACATGGCCGATGATAAGAGAATGACTGGGCGACGCCCCAACATGTGATTGCCACAAGAACTGAGAGCAGCTCCAGCGATGGCTCCGAAGACCGCAGCAGAGACGACACTCTCACTCTGCAGATCAGTAAGGTGGAAAACCTTTGGGTCTTTGAGCAACACCAATGCACCGGAGATCACACCCTACCAGCAAGCAATTAGCATTGAGGTGTTAACGTTTTCCGATAATTCCGAGCAAGACTTCCATATTTACCGTGTCATAGCCGAACAAGAACCCTCCGATGGTGGAGCAAAGGGTGAGTAGATACAGTATCACTGGGTTATGCTGCGTCTTGGCCACGAGGGGTGTCGTCTCCTGGCAACTTCCAGCAACATCGTGGAAGGACGTCATCAACTTCTTAACTTAGATTTATTACCTATATCCAATTGCAGGATTTGCAGAGAAAAAACATGATTCTCGCTTAGTTCCGACGCGAAAGAAAGTTAAAACTGGAAGTCCATTTACGACTCGTAATAAATGTCTTACTTCGGATCCATCTCCGCCATCCAACGACGAACAAGTACATCCACCTTTTGCTCAGCTTCGCGCACCATCTCGTCACTAGCATTACTATCCTTGAGCATTTTAAGCGTCGTTAGCGCACTTTGAACAGCAGTAGAAGCCTTCGTCACCGAATCGTAGCCTGACCGTCGCTCTACGATCTCGTCTTCGTTAGCGGTGCGTTCTTCTGGACACAGACGGCACCGCTTGTTTTCATGGCAACCATCGCTGGTTAACGTATTGTTGTCAGTGTCGGTACACCTCTCGCCATTGACCTTTTCTGAACGGTATTTGCACAGGAGATTAATGAAGCCCTGCTTGTTGTCTTCTGTTGACGAGTGACGCTGTGGGATTAAGCTCCGCTTCACACACGCACTTCGCAACTGCTTTGCACGATAAGACTCGAGAACCACACGTAGAGCAGCCTTCTCACTGTCTGCGGGGTAGCTATTGACTAGCTCGACGATCACTTCGTCCATTTCTTCTCGCACTACGCTACCGGCTAAACGACGAGCATTCTGCGTCTGCTGTGCGATAGAGGGTTTGGCCGAGACCGACGGAAGAATCCTCTGATATTGAGCTCTTTCCTTCTGCACTAATCCATTGTAGTTCTCCATGGCCTCAGTGATGGCACGTATTTCCTTGTTCGTCCTGTTTTGATTCTTGTCAACCTCAAACATGCGCTCTATAAACTGGGGACTAAACAAAATGTTGACCAGGCGATATGCATCCGAATGGCTTGTGGGCCACCTGCTCCTGTTGCCTCAGCACCCCCTCGCTCCGTCGGTGTCGCTAGAGTAACACCCTCGCCGCCCACCTTCCCCGAATGGTACTTGCACAGGAGATTGATGTAGCCCTGTTTGTTATCCTGTGCAGCCGAGCAACCCTGCGGATTAAGCTTCAGCTTCACACAAGCGCTTCGCAATTGCTTTGAGCGGTAAGACGCGAGAAGCGCATGAAGAGTAGCCGGGCCACCGTGTGCAGGGTAGCTATCAACTTGATCAATTATCTTCCATTCTTTCTTTGCCTGCGCTGATGCTGGACCGCAGGCCTAATCCGCGACGTGGATTGGTCTAAAAGCTCATTCTGAAGGATTATCTAACTTCGTAATATGACGACACCAACGCCAGCAGGAATGGGCATGGGGGCCGTGGCTGCGCCTGCCGGGGCCGCCATCGCGCCTAATAAGAACTCTCCGCACCTTCACTCAGTGGCCAGCAGCTTGCGCTCGTGCTTGGACGGGATGTTGCCTGACAACCTACGCAACGATAGCGTCGCCTTCCAACAGCATTGTGCGTGGATAGAGTTTGAGTACATGATCGAATAATATGAGTACATGCACTAATAATATGAGTACAAACTATCCCGCAGTGGCACAACAGAAGACGCGGCTGCAGACTGAAAAGAACTCGTGGCGTTTTGGCCTCAATTACCTCTTCGAGACCCTCAAACAGCACAAGGATTGGTACGCACGTAACCAGCAGTTCGTACAGCTGCGTAAAGATGTCAAGCGGTTCGAGTCCCATGTAGCTACTGTGAGGACAATTCTGGCTGAGAGCGTGAGTAAACTGGACCTCGAAGCGGGACTGCGAGGCGCTGAGCTCGAGGGCCGCGTGGGGGCGTACAAGATCATGTTTGAGGTCACCAAGATCGTGTCCAACCTCAGTCGCCCGCTGGTTAAGCTGCAGATACTCAAACCGAATGAGTCGTCGCTCTCAATTTACTGCGACACGTTCGTGTTGGACATTGTGCTGTCTGGAGGAGAGGTATAGAGTTGTAGGGGGTATCGTGTGCTGAGAGATTACAAGAACTAATTGGTGGATGGAACAGGGTGCTGTGGAGTCTGCATCGTTGACGACGGTGGAGAAAGGTGCAATTATTGCAGTTAATTCTGATACAAATTGTTGGAATCTAACGTGATGTTTGCAACGATATTGGCTGTGTGCAGACCAAACGAGTCAATTTCCGGACCGGGACGAAGACTTGTTGGCGTCGCTCAAGCTGCTGGCGAATGGAGACAGCGCCAACTTTACGGTAAGATGTTCAGCTCATTTATACTTATAAGTTCGGTTTGTAATATTTTATTATCCTGTAGGAAAAACTGAACAGACTGATCAACCGCGCTGAGCTGGCAGTCAAGTTCCCAGCGAGTAAGCGACTGGCAAAGTCTGCATTATGAGAAATACTGACTGATGTTGTTACTCTTAGTGAACTTCGAGCAGCTAGAGATGGAGCTGTACACCAAGGTCACAGAGGGGTGCAGTCAACAGGTAGGAACAGGCCACAGCGGTTTGCTCAAGTGGCATCAACTGACTTCTCTATTGCAGAAATACTGGACGGCAAAGCGTGCAGTTGAGGGCGTTCGAGTCATGTTTAAGGACCCCAATGCTTGCATCCCCGTGGTTGAACCCCCACGCAAGCGTGTGAAGATCGATGAAGCGCAGGCCTCTGCTGTATCTGCTGGTGCGTCGGGGTCTACTACAGGCACAGCAGATGCAGTCGCCATGGACGGAAGCAACGGGACTGACGACCACGATGACCCCAGCAAAGCCTCATCGTCCGATGTTCTGTCTCCACTGGCAAATGGCGAATGGGCTGGAAGTATCAGTTTCATCGAATGGAGAGGCGAAGTCGCACTGCATGTTGTTGGTGAGACCCCACTCGTGATGGTCGGTCAACAGGCTCGGAAGTTGGCGCTTGTAGCCATGCACAAACACTCGGATACAGCGCAGAAAGATGTGATTGAAGACGAGAAGCTGTTCAATGAGTTCGTGAGCTGGACGACACCGGACGGGAAGAAGCCGATCCTCCCTCGTCTTCACTTCGCGCGAGATCGCAGCATGTGCTCAGTGTTCCCGTCCCGATCATCGCTAGCCATGCGACAGGAGTACACGTTGACGACGAAGGAGATTTCTGGGGGACTTAAACTGCACTCGTTCCCCATACCGGTACGATATAACAGTGAGGTATTGATGCTGTAGTTGGGCTAATAGTTTGTTCTGTTTGAAGCTGACGAACGCCTCAATGGAAACGCTGACGAACGTTCTTCAAGTGTGTGGGAGGAGTTTGTTTTTCCACGCGCTGTTGCTGTCTGCGTTCTGCTCAAGAAGCAACATATTTGGCCAGCGTATTCCTGCAGATAATGACGATGCAGTCAATGGTACGAGCTTTACAGTTTAGCTGCCATAATGGAGACTAATTGTCTGTAAATTGTAGCTCGGATCAAGGTGGATGTAGCGGCGCCAGAACGCATTACCATGAACACCGGAGACCTCCTTGGGGCTGGCAAACAAGTGCTGATCGAGGTGAACACCAAGCCGGACTGCTCGTTGGAACTTAGTGTCAAATACCAGACCGAGACGACCCCCTCGCTGCCACTGGAAAACGCTGCGACGCTGCAGAAATTGGTGAGCGCATGCCACTCGATCCCTCTGTTGACATACTACGCGTTGAAGCGTACCGTGCAAGCCAAGAACGGTCCGTCCTCTGCTGCGGCGGGTGCTAACGGCGAAGACTGCAATGGCATTGCGGCTCTAGACGGCGATCTGTCAGTCTCGATGAAGATGGAGGGAGAGGGAATGCTGCTGGACGAGATGGATATGTTCTAGAAAGACAACACTGCTCCTGTCAACGTGAACAATGAGGATTCTCAACATCTTTGCAGGTCTAACATTTATTGTACTATCAGTCGTTTTCTTCATGAACTGGAAGCGCCTTCCTGGGACCAACAGCCTGAGGGAGTTTAAGGTTTGGTCGCGTTTGAACTTGAGCTACTACCTCTGGATCTGCTTGGTAAACTCGACCGTCTACTCCCACCAGGAACCTAAACAACCAAACATTTAAAGGTGAGTTTTGTCTGTCTAGAAGTCGTAACAATTGTCAACTTACCCTTCACTCGCGCTCTCTGCTAGCTGTCCAGACGACGCCATGTTTGCTACTGTTCGAGGAGACAGATACGGCGCACTGGCTGAGTGATTGTTGCTGAGAGTACTGGATCGATTGCGCATGGCGTTCTTCTCAATAGACCCTGCACCTGGCGGGAGATGGAAGCCTCCGCCATAGACTGGAGCCATCTGGAAGGGGTTCTTGTTGACGATCGGCCCACTGGGAGTCGATGGCTCGCGTAGTTGACTGTTGCAGGACAGACACTTCTCTCGATCAAGACTAGGCAACATTCCTGCTCGCTTTTGACCGCTATTGGCTCCTCCGTGCTGATGACCCGCTGGCTTCCCCGTGAGGAAGGCACTGTCCGCGTAGTTGAGAGACTTTTGAGCTTGCACGATGGATGCGTTCATGCTGTCCGAGAGGTTCTTGAGCAGAGCGAGCATCTCGTCCTTATCTGCCTTGGACTTGAGAGCAGAGAAGACGTCGTCCCGATTCATCTTGATATCGATAAAGGAGCGCAGATTCTCCACCTGCTGACGCACACGAGAGTCGTAGAGCACTTGCTCTTTAACTTCCAGTAGATCTTTCTTGTCTGCTTTACTCTCGCTCAGATGCGTCACAAGTTGCTGAAGCTCCTGACTGGCACGTTTGAATTCATCCTCTTCACCCAGAACAGAAGCCAGCGCCTTGTCCAGTTGATTGCAGATCTCCTCGTACTTGGACTCAATGATCTCGTCCACTCGAGTACGGTCCGCTTTCTCCAGTAACAAACGCTGTACGTCTTCCACGGCACAAGTATTGTCGTCCAAGGTACGTCGAGTTTCGAGCATCATATCCTGGACATTGCGCCCTTGTTTGATCATCTTGTCCGTGCAGTCGCGCAGAGCTTCTTCTTTACGTTTGTTGTCCTTCTCAACTGCCTCCATCCACATTGCCAATGATAATTTGTTGTGCAGAATATGATCCGAGTCGAGGAACAATTCCTTCTGCTCCTCATTCAGACGGTCTTCGATCTTCATGGCGAATTGTTTGGTCACTTCGTGGTCTTCACGAATAATATGGAGCTTCTGTTCAGTCTGCTGGACGAACTCGTTGTGCACCGTATTGACCTTCTCGACACTCGCTGCAACGTGTTGAACCTCTTCACGAGTGGCTCGTACTTGGACAGCAACGTCATCGATCTCTTTGAGTTGTTCGGCTTGTTTGACCTGCACCACTTCGATCTCGTACACTTTGGTGTTCATGTCTTCCACTTGACCCTGAACTGTGATGAGCTTCGAGTTGACGCGTTCCACGTGCTTCGCCGTGTTGCGAGCTTCTCGCTCCATTTCCGCCATTTTGTCTCGCAATCGATCGAACTCGTCCACCATGTAGCGCATGGCCTCGGTCTGCATACGCAGCGCTTTGACCAAAACTTTCTTGGACACTCGTGGTTGTTCTAGTTGCGTTTTACCTTCCAGTTCCTGACCCAATTTCTGCCACACATCGGGTGTGCCGAGGCCAATTGAGGTCAGCGAGGCGTCTACTTCGTTGCGCTGCATGGTGACGGCGTTGGAAGAATTGAAGAAAGTAAAGTATTCTTATCGGAGAATTCCCAAAATGGTCACGAGAAATACAAGTTTGGATTTTCTAATATATTTGTCGACGACCTAGATCGGGCGGACAGGACTAGATTCACTACGTAGTGATAGCAGAGATGCGTCGAGCTGAATGACGCCAAGAAGTTTTCCGAGAGAGACAACGTACACTTGAGTCCAGTTCGACATGGAGGCCACTCTGTGAACGATATGGAGGTTCACTTCCTCCCCGACCTACAAAGGTGTTGTGTTAGAGAAGAATAGTATTTTGATATGCATGTGTACTTAGTCCGATACCTGAGGGATGTAACTTTGAACAGGAATTGAAGTGAACTCGAAGGGACTAAATGGAGGTCCCAGTTCAAGCTGTAAAACAAAATCAGTCAAAAGTGAGTTATCAACAACCGTCACAGAGTATTTCATCTTACCATGTTTGCTGTCGAAGACGCATTCTTCTCCTCGGAGTTCAGTAGTGATAGATCCTCCACCGCCATTATCTTCCGCTTGTCAATGTCGAGAACTTTCGACACTAAGTGCTCAATTTGTTTTGCCACTTTTTGATTCTTCGTCTCTGTTATCTACAGGAGAGCACATGATCCGATCAGTGTTTCATTTCGTCAAAACTCGTCACAGCTGGAAGCTTACTCGGGGGCGGTTGACTGCAATGAACCGTGCTATCCCAATTTCCAGGTCGTATCGTCGAATACACCCCTGCCCGCCGAAGAACCATACAGTACATTAGCAACTATAACGGATAATTTGTCAACAATAGTTATCTTGACCAGTAGCAGTCTGTTGTCCTCACTATCGCAAAGAGGGAAGTATCCTTCATGTTTGTACATACTCTACAGCAAGATCGACATTAGTCCTTTTCAAAGATCATACTGGAAGCTGACATACCAGGGCTTGAATGGCTTCATCGTATGTGGTTTCTCGAGTGAAGATAACGGGAACAATACTCATGTGATCTTTTGCAAGTTTCCGACCGAGAATATATTCATTGACGTCGTAGCAAACCGACTTCATTCCAGCCCACTCGGCCACGATATCATAGAACGACGGTGTTATCATACTACTGACGAAATAGGCCACGATACAAGAAATCATGACCGGTAGCATGTGGCTAAGCTGGCCTGTGAGTTCGAACACAATAACAGCAGTGGATACAGTCTGCGTAACTGAACCAGCAAAGCCTGCAGCACCGACGACAGCATACGTTGCAGGGCTTTGAGCTGGGCTCCAATACCGCAATAGGATCTCCCCATACAGTCTCCCGATAGCTGCACCAGTGGTGAAAATTGGTCCAAAGACGCCGCAGGATATCGGAGCTCCACAGGGCAGAAGAGTGATAGTAAATTTCATCAGGATATAAACGATTAACGCAGTCTGAGGGAGGTCTGATATGTGATTCCACTGCGGGAAACTGAGGCTATGGTCGCGAAATAACTCGTTCACCATGAGACGATCTGAAATTCTCAAAACTCCGAGAGAAAAAGTGATCGTCGCTGTGATAACACAAATTGACACCACGTGAATGATTCGGCGCTTCAGAGACGGTTTGGCGAGCCCTAGTTTTGTGAATAGCGTTATCTGTATGAAGCGCAACCCGACCATCAGCTTGCAGTACAAACCAGCTGCAAGCTATATGCACGATGGTTAATAGTTCGAAATACACAATCACAGTTTAAAGATGAGTCTTACCCCGCTGAGAACACCTAAAAAGACAAATGCAAACATCTCTACATCCAATTCAAAACCTGTAAAGTTTGTTTTCTCGAACAGAAGCTCACTTTTTAGAACGGGAGTGATTCGAAAAACCAGTAGAGCGAAAGAAGAGCAAATAATGCCCTCCCACAGGCATTTGATCTCGTAGTGCTTAGCAGTAGCTTCAATGCTAAAGAGAACTGCACCCACCGGAGAGCCAAAACCAGACGTGACACCAGCCGCCACCGCTATAATAAAAAACAGAATTTCATCATTTAAGCAATTTACTGTGAATTTTACACTTCCACTTACCTGCACGGATGAAGTTATAGTTCGCTTGGCCGAAGTTTGCGCGACGGAATATCGGGATTTTACTTATCAGATAGCCAATCATGGCCATGATCTGGGTAAATGGACCCCCACGTCCCACCGATAAGCCAGAACTTGAGCTGATCAGAGTACCAAGAGTTTTGGCGACAAGTGTGCGGAATGAAAGTAAGTCATCAGGATTCTGGAAAACTCCAGCGAATAGTCCACGCATTGTAGGGATACCAGACCCGTCCGACATCGGAGTGATAAAATACCCACAACACGTTGAAATGACCCCAAAACTCACACACCAGAGGACCCAGACGACAAAGGCACCGTAGGAATAAAGACCAATTTGTTCGACGAGGAATCGTCGAATTCGCAGCAATGAACGTACCCAGTCATCGAACACAAGACTTACAAAGAATATCATTAGTGCTCGACTAGAGTTTAACACCAGCAACAGATAAATTTTACCCGTAGGCTCCTGCTATCGATCCGAGTATCATCAAGTACAGCCACGCGATGGGCGAGTTCGGAAGTTGTTTGAATCTTCGAAGGGTACGGATGCAGCATCGCCCAAGTGAAAACTTCTCGAGTCGACGTCTCTCTTGCAGAAGATCATTGAAGTGATCCACGGAGGTGGCACGTTGCCAGGTATCTGCAGTAGTTACCACCACAAGGCGTCTTTCAGGATTAATCAAGCCCTACTAGTTTGATACTCACCGTAGTTTGCACGCATGCTTACGTGTGCGATCTGGACAATGGATATGGAGAGACGGTTGGTAACTAGAGCGTTTCGCTGCTTAAGATATCAAGAATTGGTATTGAGGATACGAAAATGATCAGATATTTTGTTACGTCTACGAGAAACGTATAGGAACGTCTTCCTTGCGTAGCTTGGTGAGCGATGAATCGAGATGGATCACACCTTGTAACTTGCCAAACTTGACGACGTATACCTGTGTCCAACTGGAAATGGAGGCCAACTTGTGTACACGATACAAATTGACGTCTTCACCCACCTGTAAAAGTGTAACAGTTAGTATCATGTAGAGCACGACATACTTCATTCCTTGTAGCACCTGAGGAGGATAACTCTCGACCGGGATTGATGTGAACTCGTACTCGTCGAACGGCGGACCTAGCTCCAACTGCAAGAGTCCACATCAGTTATTGCACCATTAGGGGGAAGAACGTCACTTGTTGTTCGTACCATGCTGGACGTCGTTGGAGTTTCTTTTGGTTGAAAGTTTAGCAGAGACACATTATCTACTGTCGCGCTTTTCTTCTTGTCAATGTCGAGAACTTGAGATATCAAATTCTGGATCTTCGTCGATACTTGCGCGTTCTTCGATTCCTCCTTCTGTACCAAGAAAATACAGTATCAGTCCAGAGTTAAAGCACAAGTGAAGGAAAAGGAATGTGTACCCCACTGCGATGAATAGCAAGGAATCGAGCAATTCCAACTTCCAGGTCATAACGTCGAAGGCATCCCTATGTGAACAGCACTTAATGGTTATCTATGACATAAATTAGACCACACAGACTAGCTTACCATCAGCAATTTGTTTTCAGCATTGTCACAAACTGGAAAGTATTCTTCTTTCTTGAATGTGTTCTAGTAAGTAAAATGCGCTTCAGTTATACCCATTCTGTTCTCATCATCACAATTCATCTATAGACATACCAGAGCCTGAATTGCCTCCTCATACGTGGTGTCACGCGTGAATATAACTGGAACCGTGGCCATATAATCCTTGGCAGCTTTTTGACTCAGTACGTGCTCATTGAAATCGTAGCAAACCGAGTTCATTCCAGCCCAACTCGCTAAAATATCGTAAATTGAAGGAGTGATTATCCCACTCACGAAATACGCCGCGATACAAGCCACCATGACTGGAACCATGTGACTGAGTTGCCCTGTTAACTCGAAGAAAATGACCGCAGTAGAAACTGTCTGTGTTGCAGAGGCGGCAAAGCAAGCGGCACCGACGACTGCGTAGGTGGCTGGAGATTGATGTGGACTCCATAATTCCATAAGAGTTTCTCCGTAATAGCGGCCAACTGCTGCGCCCATGGTAAATAACGGTCCAAAGACGCCACAAGAAAGAGGAGCTCCACACGGAAGAATGCTGATGAATAGCTTCAAAACAATGTAAATCACAAGAGTGACGTGTTTACTATCAGAGAATTGAGTCCATTGTGGGAAGCTCAACGTCTGGTCTCGAAACAATTCGTTGATCATGACTCTATCCGGGATCCGCATAATTCCAAACGGGAAGGAAATAAGTGCAGTAGTCAAGCAGATCGAGACAACGTGAAAAATTCGACACTGAATGGACGGTTTAGTGAGACGGAATCTCTCGAGAAGTCGAGCCTGTATTCGTCGTAGAACCAGCGCCATTTTGCAGTACAGACCAGCGCCAATCTAGAAAATATAAAAACAGACCTGTTAGCTCGCTTCATTGTCAAGGGAATTTAAGAAATAATCACTCACTCCTGTGATGATGCCCAGCAGCACAAAGGCAAAGATTTCCTCGTCCATATCGAAACCGGTAAATTTCGTGCGTTCAAATAGAACCTCACTCTTCGTGAAGGTGATAATGTTGAATACCAAGATACAGAAAGAAGAGCAAATGATTCCTTCCCACAGACACTTGATCTCGTAGTACTTCGCAGTCACTTCGATGCCGAACAAGACTCCGCCCAATGGTGACCCAAAACTTGCAGTCACACCACATGCCACCGCTTCCACAACACCAATACTTGATCAATATAAGCTACAGAAGGGAACAAAAGACACTTACCTGCACGGATGAAGTTATAGTTTTGCTGTCCGTAATTTACTCGTTGGAATATTGAAATCTTCCCCATCAAATAGCCAATTATGGCCATAATGTGTGTGAATGGGCCAGAGCGACCAACTGAGAGAGCAGAAGCCGATGATAGTACCGTCCCTATCGATCTTGCAACCAGCGTTCGGAACGACAGCGTATCTCCTGGATTTTGAAAGACTCCAGCAAATAATCCACGCATTGTCGGGATACCAGATCCGTCCGAAGCTGGGGAAATGTAGTAACCACAACAAGTCGCGAGCATGCCGAATCCGACACACCACATTGTCCAGATGATAAACGCACCGAACGAGTATTCTCCAGCAGACTTAATTATGTAATCTCGTAGTTCCAGTAGCGCACGAACCCACCCGTCAAATAAAAGTCTGCAGTATCAAGAGTGTTAGGTAATTAAAATGTGTTAAGAACTAAAGAATGCGAGCGTTAATATTACCCGTAGACTGCTGCCAATGACCCCAGTATCATGAGATAAAGCCACGTAACAGGAGAATTGGGTAGTTGCTTGAACAATCGAAGAGAGCGAAGACAGAGTCGACCAACTGCATTATTCTGCATACGTCGCTCGCCTCGACAGAGTTTATTAAAATGCTCGACAGAGTACGCACGCTGCCATGTATCTGCAAGAAAATCGTTAATTGTGTCAAACTGAATGGAACCATTTCAAATCATCTCACCGTAGGTGGCCTGCATAGCTGTCGAATCCTTTCGTAATGAGGCGACACCATGACCGTTATTTTGCTTCCATACTATAAAAAAAATAATTGAGGAACTACTGAATGAGCAATTTCCTTGATCAAATCAAATTCGATCAGCTTTAATAAATTTAATCAAAGGAAGTGAAAAAAAAAATGATTCCAGCCTGATAATCTTGGCGGGCTCCGTTGCAATGAGACAGAAACACCGCTCAAGCGTTGACGCTTCATTTTCCTTACTCCAAAGACCTGAGTGACCACAAACGTACGGTCTTGTCGTCACTTGCACTAGCCATCACGCTCGCATGCACTGGATGCCGGACCACCACATTCACGACGCTTGAGTGTCCATCCAGCTCAGCTGCCAGCTTCCCATTATCCCGTTGCCACACGTGTATCTTCCCGTCTGCATAGACAAAAAGAATGAAAAAGTTTAAGCTATTCCACTATTTAATCAATAGAATCTTCGTACCTTCACTTCCAGAGGCAACCAGTTCACTATGAGCTCCAATGAAACAAGGACGAAGCACGTATCGCTGCTCGCGAATTCCATGGTACTTGGCTACAACGGAGCCCGTCGCGATCTCGATACACGTGAGTTGCTCTTGTTTGACGAAATTTACTAACAAGAACTTCCCAGAGGGGGATATAGTGAGACACGACATGACGTTATCCGCTTCGATGAACAGCTCGTCTGACTTGTGAGCGACATCGTACACGCGGATTTCGTAGCCTGAAATGAGCACAAACACTTTGCTATCGTGTGGGTGAACAACGACATCCAGTACCCTCCGTCCACTCCATTGATACGCGATGGAGTTCTCGTTTGCATTCTACAGCATAACTAAGCGTTAGTAGTGTGTAAGATTACCTCTTTTTTTTTTTTAGGAAATCATACCCATAGAACGAGAGACTTGTCTGCACTACCGCTTACGAATTGGTCCCCACAAGACAACCACTGCATCTTTGTGACCACTCCCCCTGGATGCTGGAAGCGCTTCTCGCACAGTCCACTCTACAGGCAGCAAAACTGTTGGTAAGTGCTATAACAATCAACTAAAAGGACTCGTGAGCAGACCGTTCGATCCCAGAGTTGTATCGTACTGGAGCGACTCCCACTCGAGAGCAAAAATCGACTGTCCGGGGACCATGCGAGGCAATCTGCTGGTCCCTCGAGACTCTGCAGCACATGGAGAGTTTCTGTCTTCAGCTACAAGTAACAAACCCAGTCAGACCAGCTCAGGCAAGTACCAATAAACACTATCAATACTTTCATCGTCCCACCTCCATTGTCAGACTGAATCCCACCGCTTCTTCCTTCCATTTGATCTCCCAGAGCACCACAGACCCATCACTTGACGCTGATGCCAACATTTCTCCATCTGGAGAGAAGGCCAGCTCCCACACGTCGTTCTTGTGACTCGTGAGGACCTCCACACAGTCCCCTGCAACTTGTCCCATCATCATAGGCGGCGGCGTCTGCAATTCCACGTCCTGCACGATTCTCTAGTAGTTATAAAACACCAGTCAGGACAATATTTGTCACCAAAAAGTATCCTAAAATTCATACTCACGCGCAATGCTCCCTCGGGTATAATTTCCTCTGGACTGACCAGTTCTTCGAGCTTTAATTGCAGCTCATCGTCCTGCCAGGGCCTCGAGGTTCGCTGTTTCATCTCGTCTGCGTCTCTACAGAGCAAAAGTTCGGCCAATTGCTTCACTTCTGCCTCGCTTGGCTCACACAGTGGCAAAATTTCTTCCTGAAAAGTGCGCAAAGCTTCTGGTAGCTGTTTGAGTAGTAGAAAATCGATGAATTTGCGCTGTAGCAGCAGCAGCGCCGCCTCACGAGCTGCCAGAGTCGATTTCATCTGGAGCTGCTCGCGTTCGTCCCCTGTTTTCATCACGAGCTGCAGCGCCTCGTCCCATTGGCGACTAGCAACAAGATTCTGCAGCTTCTTCATGACACTGGACCGCAGTTGCACGCAGGCCTCACGCTCCAGGGCGGCGGCGGCGTCGTTGAAGCCCAAATCGTAGAGCTCTCGGAGCAGCAGACGCGCCCATTTGTTGCGCTTCCTCTGCGGGGAATTGGGGTCGGTTGATCCGTCAACTGAAGGAGACGGAGGAGAAGGAGGGAGTGTGGGCGGCGGCGGCGGCGAACGCTTGCGCTTGGCGTCGTCCGAGGCGCGCATGGCGGTCGAAGATTAGACCTTCTTCAACCTGATGCGAAATTTTGTGTTGGAAAAAACTTTTTTGCATTTGGGATTTAGATGAAATTCGCAGAAAGTGAACCACCTCTCCCATTTTGTTTCGTGTTGTCCATGCAAAATGCTGCCTGTTGCTCGTGTTCTTGTGAGCCTTCATGACCCGTGTCCTTGTGTGCCTTCAAGACAGTGCTTTGACTCACATTCGTCAGTCCGCACAACGCTCCTTGAAGCTGGAGAATTTGCAAGTTCAAAGCTCGCATTCAGGGATCGCAGTTTCTTTATCCACTTCCTCTCACTATTGAATCAATAGTATTGATAAAAGAAAAATCTCCCGATATTTTTTTCACCACTCGTCACCCAAATGACGCTCTCCGTTCTTCGTCACACTCGGTTCTTCCGCTCCGTGCTCAAGTCGCCCTCCGCTCTCCACTTCCGCGCCATGTCATCCGCCAAACTGCGCCAGTTCCCCAAGAACGAGACGTTCCCCGACGAGTTCCTGCGCCTCGTGCCCAAGACGGATCTTCACTGTCACTTGGATGGTTGTCTTCGCCCCCAAACACTCATCGATTTGGCCAATCAACAGGGCGTGGAGCTCCCCACTTACGACGCTGAACAGCTCAACCGCGACGTGTTCAAAGAGACGTATGACTCTCTAGAGGAATATCTCGTCTGCTTCTCGTACGCTTCAGCCGTGTTGCGAACCAGTGAAGCGCTGGAGCGCGTCGCGTACGAACAGGCTTGTGACCAGTTCGCTTTGGGCGTCCGATACTTCGAGACCCGCTTCGCTCCGCAACTCAACGCGGTGCCAGGCGAATTGCCACTCGAAGAAGTTTTGCTCAGTGTCAATCGCGGTCTGAAACGCGCCACCGACGAGTTTAACGCGAAAGATCAGGATGTTATCTCTGGTTTGGCACCTCGGTTCGCCTACGGTATCATTGTGTGTGCCATGCGGTTCTTCACGCCGGCGTTTGGTCCGTACTACAAACAATTCTGCGATGTGCATCGTCATGAGGATCCTCACCGTCTGTATGGCCTAGCGTCCATGGCGCTGATCACACAGGCGTATGCTACCAAGATGGAGCATGGTGTGCCTGTTGTGGCTCTGGATATCGCTGGAGCTGAGAGAGGGTACCCAGCTCACGACCACGTAGAAGCCTTCGCCTTTGCACACAAGAAATTCATGCACAAAACAGTGCACGCGGGTGAAGGTTACGGTCCTGAGAGCATTTTTGAGGCCATCACGGACCTCCACGCCGAGAGAATTGGACACGGCTTGCATTTGTTCCGTCATGACACCATTGAGAAACCCGATCTGGATGAGGAACAGCGCAAAACGTACTGCCACGACCTCGTGCAGTACCTGGGCAACTCCAGGACGTGTCTTGAAGTCTGTCTGTCCAGTAACTTGCAGACGACGCCCGATATGGAGCTTGATGCCAGGAACCACCCGCTGCGTGACATGCTGACGAGCAAACTGGCCGTTAGTCTGTGCACAGACAACTGCACAGTGTCCCACACGAACATGATGCGTGAGGTGCGACTGGCATGTGACGCCTTTGAGCTCACTCCCCACGAGCTGCGTCAGATCCTGTTGACAGGCTTCAAGCGCTCGTTCATGCCTGGAGATTACGCCGAAAAGCGCGCCTACACTCACCACGTCATCGACTACTACGACCACCTCATCAATAAGTTCGGCATTAAGGATACCAGCACCAGCAAGTCCGGTTAGGCACAAAAGCAACTTAAAAAGCTAAAGGTAAGAGGATTAGCAACAAGATCGGTAGCGTAATCTTGATGGTTGGAGAAGTCTTTGTGCGCTTATGATAAGAGTACTAGTAGTATTGGTAAGATTTCTATTCCGCATATATCTGCAGGACTCGAGTTGCTCTGTATTCGCCGTCAATATTCCGGATCAAGTATGGGTCTGTCCTTCTTCGGATCGTAGTTGGTGCTGCCATTCTCGTTGCCAGCTCTAACGCCTTGGCCAGCGCCAAGAGCACGCTGCCGTCAGAAGCAAGTTTGTCTGCTGAAAGAGGCGGTGAACCGTTTTTAAGAGTGCCGGAAGCACGTGAAATGTCCAATCGAGAGGGTAACCAGGAAGAAGAAAGAGGGGCATTCAATGTAGCCTCCTTTCTAAAACACCTGATAGAATCAAGCAAGAGTTCTTCAGCGAAGTTCCAGAACTGGGTTCAAAGAGCGAAATACCGCCCAGTGTACAAGTAGTCTGCAGCTCTAGGCTCAGAGAGAAGAAGGCGATAAAAGAATAATGCGACGAGTGCTGTCAAGATTACTACAACTATTGTGAAAAACAAACGTGTTGAAGCGCAAACCTCCTAAGTCTACTACCTATCACAGCCCTTCTATCTCTTGGCACGAATCTGCTTCTCTTTCCGTCGACCTACTGCCGCAGCAGTCTTCTCTTGAATATCCGAGATCTTGCACGGTCGCAGTACATCGTCCTGCTGCGGATCATCGTTGTCTGAATCGCCAAAGTCATCCGCAGTGGGTGGTGTAGGTCGTAGCAATGCACCAGTTGTGGTAGCAACGCCCCCGCCACGAGAACGATCACCGTTACGCGAGTGGCGAGTGTGACCGCCTTCATGACCTCCCACATCAACCTTCATAGCCGGATGATGCGCTCCTAACGCCGCTGCAGCTGGTGCATTCGTAGCAATATTGTGAATATCAACTAATTCGCCAACACGCTGCTCAATAAGTCCCAGTAACTGAGCCATCGAGATGTCAGTGACGCCATGTGTGGACAACTGCGTCGCAAACGCTTCATCATTAGGTCCTTGTAACTTGTGGAAAAGTCCCATAGCGCCAGTTTTCATCACCTCCGCAGCTTCTGCAGCTTCACTATGACGAGCTTCTAGGCGTGCAACTTTCTGCCGAGATTTCTCAATCTGGTCCTCTAATTGTTGCTTGAGTGCACGTCGTCTTGCATCCTCCGCCGACCCCATAGAACCATCACGAGTCTGTTCGTTTACCTGGGCTTCAAGCGCGTTGTTTTCCACTTCTAGAGCCTCCATCTCGGTACTCAGTTCGTTGATCATATTGAACAGTGAAAAGTTCTTCTCTTCAGCGGCAATCAGAGCAGCCGCTAGCGCCTGAGAATCCTTCTCCCCAGTCTTTCGCTTGATCTTGGCCAGACCATCCTGAGCCACTCTCAACCGCTCACTCTGTTTCTGCAAGTCGTTCGCTTTTTCGTGTAGCAGTCGCTCGTTCTTGTGAGTCTCGTCGCGCAGTTTAATATCTGGTGTTGACAGCAGCTTAAAGCCACCAGGAAGTGACCGACCTGACGTATTACTAGGCAACGGCGAGCTAGCAATCCCTGGGTTGGCGCTGTTGACAAAGTGTGGTCGAGAAGGACTTTTAGGCGTACGTAAGCGTGGAATATCACGGATCATGGCACGATCTTCCGCCAATTGACTGGTCTTCTCGATCCATCCAGACTCAAAGTTGTTGCCATCTTCTGCTAGCTGGTTTCGCAGTGCTTCGCTCTGTCTGTTGGCTCGATCTCTTGCATCACTTGCGGCCTGGGACGCTTGTGCCACCTGAGCAGCTTCTCCTTGGGTCTGTGCTGTCTCCCTCTCCAGTTTATCGAGTACTGCAGCTTGTTGAACTTTTTCACGACGTAAAGATTGAATTTGTTCGCGAAGTGCCTTGTTCGTGTTGCATACTTCGTTGTAGCGTGTAAGCACCTTATCCAGACGACTTTCTAGTGTTCGAATCGACTTGAGCTCCGTCGTAGCGGCACAGAGCTGTGTGTTTGTGGCTTCACTAAGCGCCTTACGCGCTTCGAAATGCTCGACTCGCAACGCTCGCAAAGTGGCTTCCAGGTCGACAGATCGACGGCGTTCGCTGTCCAGCCGCTTGGCGTATGTGTCTCCTTGTTGCATCAGAGCTGACACACGTTCTCGAAACATTGGACTCTCCAGTCGTGACGGGCTCAGAGGAATACTGTGTAAATCCGGTGGAAACACACGCGGTGTACGAGCGCCACTGCTCGGCAGGTGATAGCGATTGCTGTTGCCATTGGTAGTACGAGGACTGAACATGTTGGACATGGCGCCACTTGTCGTGGGCGGGTTACTCATAGCAACAAAGCTACTTGGTCAACTCGAAGGAGTTAGAGGTTGCGTTAACCTAAATGAGGATTGCAAGTTGGAAGTGATGTAAAATTGGCACGACTATTTTTGAGCTCTTCGAGAAAAAAAAGGTGCAAAATATAAAATACATTCATGCTGTTAGACAGTTCTCCACTATTTTGCCTTGCTTTGGTTGCCCAGAGCCAAAATGTACACATGGGATTCCTTTCTTGTTCATGTGGAGACCATTTCCAGCGTTCTCGTTTTCTCGTAATATGCATGAGGTACCCGCACTTACTTGGTCAGAGGCGCGTTGTGGTACGATGACAAGGGACTCTCACGTGAATATTCGCCTCCTTCCTCGTTCGTAGGCTTCACATCACGCACACGACCTTCAGTTGCATCAACTGCGACGCTGAGAACCACAGGAAGCAGCACCGCACCGTTAAGCCAGGAGCACACCGCAGCGGCCATCAGTGTACGGAAGAAGCAGTTACCTGCCGGCTCAAACACAGGAGTAGCCACCAGTGCAAGTGCAGCGATGGCAACGAACTTCGAGAGAGCGACACCAAGAGTCCATGAGGCCAATAGCTTCGTCAAAACTTTCTTCACACAGGCATCTCCCGTTGGAGCATAACCCGAGTCATCTGTGATGGTACGAGCCTTGGCAAATAGACGAGCGAAGTGACTGGAGAAGCCCACAGAGAACGTCACAGCAATCGAGAGACTCACAATCGACAGTGAGTTGAGAGGCACACCCATCGGCATCATCAAACCAGCGACTTGGACAACCGTAAGTGCTGCAATGAACGTCACTGCAATTCCATAGCCGTAACTTCCCAGAGCCACACATTGTAATACCAGCACCACAGCAAGTCCGAGACCAACGACAACATACGCAGAGCGACGGATTGAGTGGAACTGGTCCAAGTAGACGTATGCTGGCGAGTATACCCACACATCGACACCAGTCTCGTCACTGATCCACTTGGCGATGTATTGAGCCTGAGAATACGCCGTCACCGCCCCCTCTTGACTGCCAGAAATCGTAGACGAAGCCTCAGTGGTGCTTAAAACCTTGTAGGCAAACGCAGTCACATCGTTGCCGTAGCCAGTGCCATTCATCGTCACAGTTGCCCTGCTGCTCATAGCTGGAATAGGTCCGTTATCGATACTGAGCTGTCCATGGTACCGCGTGCCAGCTGCATATGTGCAAAGCGGTCCCGTGGCAGCAGTCGAGAACATACTGACCAACGACATGAACGATTCTTGAGGCACCGACAACGCGTCACTTGCATCATTCAGACACGATGGCGCCACTGAGGCGCGTTCCAGAATATACTCAGCACTGCTCTCTTCAGGACGAAGAGGAGAGTACGCATAGTCATTCTTCGGGTCAACACGACAGCATTCACTGTCCGGTTTGACAAATCCCCAGAAATCATCCAGCCAGGAGCCAACAACGTCGTCTTTGAAGTACACGACGTTACGGTCTCCATGCGCTGCCAACGCGTTGAGGATGTTCGGGATCGACAGGTCGTCGCAGATTTCCTTCGAGGAACAGAATTTGCTCTGAGTTGCTGCATCATTGGCAAGATCATTGAAATTCTCACGGTTGTTACCGTAACCAGCTTCAACCACGAAATAGACAGGGAACTCCTTCCTTGACAGATCGTTCTCGTCCACAGCACGGTAGTACGAATGCAGATACGAATCAGTTGGGATGAACGAGGTAGGCGACAGACCGCGATCCATCGTCTCAATCGCCACGATGGCCACCAGAGAGCAAGCGCCGAATACGAGGAGCACAAGAACCTTGGAAACCTTCTTCAGTAGCACATGCACGTAGCCCGTAACACAGCGCTTCATCAGATTCAGATCAGGCATGGAGAACGCGCTCCCTGGGAACGATGAGTTCTGTGTCGTAGTTGTAGTCTCATCCTCCGAGAGACATGGACGGCGAGCAAATGAAGCGCGCTTGCAACAGATCACATCGTACGTGCCACTCAACTCACGACGCTTGTCCAGCGCTACAATGGCGAGGAGCAAGGTCATCTGCAGAGTAAAGCTGGCTGCAAGTCCAAGTACCAGTGATCCAGCCAACCACTGCGCCGCGGGCATCGCTGAATATGCAGCAAAGGCAACGATACAGCACTCGCACATGGCCGTCAGGATCATACTGGGGCCAATGTGGCCAACAGCTTCACACAGTAGAACGCACGTGATCTCATGGATACCAAAGTCGTTGTCTTCCAGCCCAACAAACAGCGATCGTTGCTCCATCTTCAATTCTTCCTGTTTCAAGTCAACAGCATGCAGGATCAAGAAGATGTTGCCCGTCCCGATCGCGAGCGTCACCAACGGCAACACCACAAGCGTCACAATCTGGAGCTTCGCACCAGTCCACGCCAAAATCCCCAATGTTCCACCCACTGCCATTAGAATGCATGAAACACCCATAAAACCCACTCCGATCTTCGACGAATGGAAGAAACGACGGTCCACCTTCCAGTGGTTCAGGCCAATGACCACGTATACAAACATAAAGAGAAACGCTGCAGTCCCAGCCTTGAATACGATGTCCAAGTTGGAAGCAGCGGCAAATTCGTCGTCTGCTGACGTCTCAGCAGCATAGTAAATGTCGTATAGAGCATTGTCCTTAGCCTCTTCCTCCATCCGAGCGATAAACGAACGCTCCCAAGCAATAGCATCTGCGTTTTTGGTCTCGTCCTGATGGTTCATCACCATAGCAGTCGAAAACAGAGTCGTCGCTTGTTCCAGATACGTGCTGGTGTCTATCGAGTTATCGTCCAATGTAAACCCACCCAGATACTCCTGTAACTCAGACATTGGCATACCAAACGATGATACACACGGGCAGTCGCTCATACTGGTTGGAAGCGACGAGCCAGAGGCGTTAAGTTGCGCTTGTAACTCACTGCACACCGCAGCATCGGCTCGTTCAGGAGCATTAGCACAGTTCGTCAAGTGTTTACCTACCAGACCGTAAGTCTCATACACTTCGAAGTGCTCCATGTTGTTCTGGAAATATTGCGTCACGGCATTCACTTGACAAGGCGAGTTCTCAGCATCTTTGACGCAGATCTCACTCAACATAACGCTGTTCGATGTGACCTCATTCGCAACGACTTGTTGTAAACGGATGGCCTCCTTGAGGTAACTCGGTCGAGTCACTGCACCGCCATCTTTTGCTACGAGCACCAAGCGCTCCAGTCGATCCACAGGTCCGAGCATCTCATTGAAGCGCGTCCTCTCTTGGAACACAGTGCTGCCCTCTGTGACCCACAACTTCAACGAGTCTGTCTCCACTTCCAAGCGCGCTAGGCCACTAGAGCAGCACACCACAAGCATCAACGACAGTAGAATAATGTAGAGCGGGTGGTTCCCCATGGCCACAAAGTCACCCCATCGTTTCAGTAGCTGGGTTAGGCGATCATCCCAGCGCCCAATACCCTTCAGTTGATCCAGGTTGATCATTGACAACATACCAGAACCCATAAACTCGTTCACAGGGTCATTTAACACGGACTGTCGCTTCCTCTTGCCATACCGAGTAGAGTACGCGAACCCGAGTGCCAATGCGGTAGCTGCAAGGAATGCGAGAACAGCCAGAACGTAGTTCAGCACTTCAAAGCTACCAGTTTCAGCACGAGACATCAAGTCAGACAGTAGCGACTCGATCTTGTCTGGAAGACTGGTGGTATTCATGCTGTCCGTGCTTACATCAGCCGATGTACTGCCGGCGCTGTAGCAAGCCACTTCGTATCCTCTGCTGTCGTCTGCACTCACTGCACACATCGAGCCGCACGTATCCACACACGAGTTAAGCAGTGAATCCATCGGCGCGAAGCATCCAGTCGTATTCGAACTGCCACAGGGACAGATCTTCTCTTCTTGTTCCGTCTCTGATAATTGCTCCTTCGTCGTGAAGTTCACTTGAGACGGTGACCCCACACCGTTAAAGCTGTATGCTCCTAGATACTCCAGTATATCTGTACCTGTCGTCGAGCAATTGTCCTCGTTCAGACCGCACACTAATGGCATAAATCCCGTGTCTGCCTCACAAAAGTCGTGTAAATCACGCACCATATCGCTGCCCACATAGTACGTGGCCTCCTCAATAGCAGGAAAGACCTCGTCCGCGTGATCAGCGTCTCCCTCCATAAGCCGAACCTGCTTCACATCCAGGAACAAACTGTTGCTCGGATGGCACGTGAATTGGCACCATAAATTGCGCAGATTTTCCTTACAAGACGTGCACTGTCCAGGTAATTCACGGACCTGCAAACTCAGCATTTCGTACTGCGTCTCCGTGCAGCAGAGCAGCTCTTCTCCTTCTCCAATTACAGTCTCGTTGTACAACAATGGGCAGTCCATTTGGAACTTCTCCTGGTTGGTCTCGGACCAGGCCGAAAAGTTATTAGTAAATCCTTGAGCATAAGCCTCCTCCACTCCAATAGGAAAATACTGGGCAGGCAGTGCCGCACCAGCCGTCACGTTCACGTAGGCAGCGTCGAAGGCTGCGCAGTATCCAGTTTCCTGTTTATAGGCCCCCAACACAGAGATACTGGTGACGTCGTCAAGGCAGTTGTTCCCTCCCGAGAACTTACACGTCGTCAGTTGTTGTTGCAGCGTCACGAGAGCCGCGGCGTCGGCGTCGAAGGACGTCTGGGCCGTCTCACTTTTGAGAGCGCGGAAACTGGACGAGGGCTGACCCCTGCCGCCCCCTACGACGACACTGTTGATGATGGGCAGCATGGCGAGTGCGAAGAGCGCCGAGGTCCAAAGCTGCGGCGGGTAGAAGCCGCTGCCTGCGATCTCGGTGGTCGTGCTCTTGACACGCAGCATCAGCGCGCGGCGTCTGGTGCCGCGTCGCCACTGCACCCGGGCGATTCCTGTCTTAGAGGCAGTGAAGGGCGAGGCCTCATTTGCCTCGTAAGTCGAGGGCTGTCGCTTGGCGACGCGACGACTACGCAAGAAGCGGCGGCAGTGGAAGGCCAGAGCCAGCAGCAACACCAAGGTGAGGCCGGCGGAAACCAGTCGGAGGTACGTGAAGAAGATGATGGAGAGCTCGGCGAACAGCGCCTCGAGCCACGCGCGGAAACATGGCGTCGCGATGGCCAGGCTGATGGCCGCGAACAGCCACATAAGCACGGGGTCCTGTTGATACACTGAGCTCCAATATGAAAGTGATGTCATAGGTCGAATCGGGAAGTCGTTCAAACGAGGTAAAATAGTGCCAGAGTGGGATCCAGGAAGATCGGTCAGCGCACAGCCGGGCCATAGAGAGGAGACAGCATTTGGAAACATGATACTATGTATACATTTATATATTTGATATCGCAGGTCAGTGAATAACGAGGCATGTAGGTTTGACTGGATTTCAATTTTCAAGTCACTGCCAAGGTGTAACTCCGTGTGTTACACATAACTATCATTTATCGATATCAGATTTGACGGACTATTATAGGCGGATTTTTACTTGTTTTAACTTGGTTTTTGTAAGCCTGGCGATTGCGACAACTTTTTCGGACGCCTGTCGACAGCCTGGTTGCCTTTCATCGCTGACAACGATTCACCGTGGCTCGGGCGTCGAGCAGATTCCGCTCCTTCATCACCGCACAACTTCATTTAGGTAGATGTTCATTGATGTATCCAATTTCATAACTATCGCACCTCCACGCGAGAAACGCTGTGAAACTGCATTTGTATTTTGTGGATCCCGCCGAGTCTTGGCAGTTTAAAACTTTGGGCTTCAATTTGCGTCGCGAAGTGGGGACTTGAATGTGTGAATGCGACGCTTCAATACCGAGAGCCGACAAGGCCAGAATACGAGGTACACTACAGTCTCGAGCTGAGCTCAAACCTCGAGTCGAAGTGTTCGCCAATGGCAACCACTGCGATGGCCATCACCGATGGGATCAGCCAAGAGTGGTACGCGTCTGCTTTTGAAACTTTCTACCGTTTAACCCCTCTGTACGGAAGATGTATTCTCATGAATAGGGGATTAAATGCACAAGAGGAGCTCTTCGACGCGGCGATACTTCAGCTCGACTGGACTTGTCTGGACTGCAGGTGTTTGCTTGAACACGTCGCTGGCATGAGTCATCCCGTGTCCGCTTGTTGCACCACCAGGAAGGCTGGTAGCGGCAGAAGAGCAACCATTGCTACTGGACTTGACCAGTCTCTCTAGAAGCTAAAGCAGGGAGAGACGCATGCGCTTGAATCCTCGCGGCTGCTCACACGATGGAGGATCCTTCTTCTTCCGCTGTTACTCTCGTCGAATTCGGTTTAGCCTCACGGGTGTATCCTCTTGAATCACGAGCGGCAGCTTCGCTGTGAATTGTACCTCGCGGATGATTATTGAGACCATGGTATCGAGAGTGCTGTTTGCACGACGACCACAACATGAAGAACAGCAACATGGAGCAAGACGAACTAAATATCCTCGTTGCGCCACGAATGCAATTAGCAGCTCCTACCTACTACCCAAAAATCTATCGCTGCGTCGACAAAGATCACTCCTCCATGTCTTCGTCGTCGGCCTCGCTGGCAGGGCGCCGGCGGTGCTGTGCCTCCGCTGCGTATAGCTGCCGTAGTTCTTCGGCCGTCTGTGGGGGCTTCTCCATCAAGCGCTGCAGTTTGCGCGTCGGGGAGCAGTCTGTGCCGCTGACCACACATGAGACCTCGTACGCACGTGCATACGCTTCACTGGCGGCTTTCAGATCGCCGAGCACCACTTGGACCTGCGCTAAGTTGTCGTAGTAAATGGTCTTCTCATGGTGAGCCGTCGGAACCACCACGTTCATGTAGGTGATAATGCGCTCCCAGATCTGAGCCAGCACGCGACGGTGCTGCGCCATCAGCGCCTCGGCCTGGAAGGCAGTGACAGCAGCAGCGTCGCAGCCGATGTTATCCAACGCCCAGAAGAGCAAGTAGTGACGCTCGTGCAGCACACCGCGGTGCACCACGGCATCGACCTCATCAAGACTCTCGGGAAATCCGTTCTCCAGAAGCTCCTGCTCCGCCGCCAAGATCTGCGTTTGCTCCGCTGTATCTGCGACTTTACCGCAGGTCTGACAACGCCACTCAAACTGCAACTGGTTCGGTTGAATGCTGGCAGCGTTGGTTCGCACAGGACACGGCAGCATGACACCCTGTGGACAGTTTCCGGCCGGACAACGAACAGCACGCGTCGGATCCGGCAGTGAGACGCAGGCCTCGCATGTACAGACAAAGCCATACGACTCCAGCAGCGATTCCTGGCGCTCAGGCGTCGGGCGGTAGAAGAAGTTGCCGTAGTCGATGGAGAGCGCGTCTCCTGGTGCAATGGGGCGAATGGCGGTCATCCAGAGAGTGGAGTCAAACGTCGTGAAGCTGCAGTTGGGTATGCAGTTGTGCTCCATGCGGCACGCCGACAGGAACAGCCCAGAGCCTCCGAGGTTCTCCAGCTCGTGCGAGTTGGTGTTAAGCACGCCAATGAGTGTAGCCATCTGCTTGTCCGTGAAGCCCGCGGGGAAGATATCTGGTAGCTGCCGACGCAATTGCAAGGCTGCGTTCATCACTCGCTCCTGTCCGGCACAAGTGAGACCCAGCACTTCATCCAGTGCATGAGCGTCGTGCTCGTACATGGCCAGACATTTGAGGATGCAACGCGCGCGGTCCACCTCCTCAATGCCGTCGATGGTCTTCATGATACCTACCACCACATTGCGGCGGCCCACATTGTCCTGCAGTCTCGGTGAGTACATGATCTTGGGTGCACCAGTGCGCTCACAGTGGCAGCGGTGGCGGGTGTCTGTCGATGGATTGATGGCGGCAATGGCCGAGGCCGATCGGAGCTCTTCGCATCCGCCGCATAGATCTGTGCTCCATGGAGCTGCCACGAATGCCAACTCGCTGAAGATGACCTGGCCAGGCTGGAAGGTGCGCTCACTGTAGACCACCTTGCCCTTGACGGGATCCTGGGCTACGCGCACGCCGCACGCGTTGAAGGCAGGAGCAGTTGCAGCCATCTGCCTCTGACAATGAGTTTCTGTGCCAACCAATGCCGAAATGTTACGATTGACTTGATGTTTGTATGGTAATTTGGTAGTCGAGGGCAGAGCCATGTAACATGAGGTATGGCTTAGTGCTTGCTGTGTGCGCGTCATTTGCATTTTCTAACGCTCTATTTATTAAAGGGACATCCTGCGTTGATGTGTCTACCTCCAAGACGCGCCCGTTAACGTCGCGTCCACAAGCTCGACACAAAACGCAACATATTGCTACGTACTTGCTGCAGCTTCACTCGTTGCTGCTCGCTTGGTTGTTCCTGTCCTTCAGCAGCTCCGTCTCCAGCCAGTCGCTGGGATCACGTGTCCCCGGTAGAATCCCATACACCCGGATAAACAACACGTACCAGTGGGCCTTGAACAGCAACGAAAGCTCTTGTTGGCTTGCTCTACCTAAATATACGGGGTGGAGGACACATCGACCTTCGATTGGGATGTGTTGGAACCGTACGACAGCGTCGGCGCCTCGTATGTAAAGCCTGTGAACATGCTCTTCGGTAGACCAGAGCCGCCCGCCGATCTACTCAAAGGTGTGCCACTAACGGGCAACTCCGTGAACTCCTTGTCGAAGTTGGATGTGTCTCCCTCCTCCTTAGACTGCGGGTCTGACGGCTTGAAGGGCGGCTCGGCCCACAACAGGCCGTCCCAGTCCACTGAGCGGAAGAAACGGTGTGCCTTGACATCGCTAGCACCGCGACTGCCCAGACGCTTCTCGGGCTCGCGATGCAGCAGCGACTGAATCAGCGAAGCCGCGTCACGACTCAGATACGTCGGGATCTCCAGTGGAGCCTCACGGATGCGAGCGAACAGTTCTTGTCGATTGCGAGTGTACCAAGGCGGCAGACCCGTTAGCATCTCGTACAGCACCATGCCCAGTCCCCACCAGTCCACAGCTGTGCCATGGCCTTTGCGAGCCAATACTTCCGGTGCCAGGTACTCGGGTGTACCGCATAGCGACGTGGCGCCGCTGTCAATCTCAGTAACCTCGTCCTTGGCCAGTCCGAAGTCTGCCAGCTTGATGTGGCCCATCTCGTCCAGCAGAATGTTCTCGGGTTTGAGATCGCGATAAACGACACCCAGAGAGTGCAGGTGCTCGAGTGCGACCACGAGTTCTGCGGCGTAAAAGCGCGCCATCTCCTCGTCGAACTTGCCCATACGTGAGAGGTGGAAGAAGAGCTCTCCACCGGGACAGTAGTCGAGCACGAAGTAGAGCTTGGCCTCGGTTTGGAAAGCGTAGTGCAGCCCCACGATAAACGGGTGACTGGCCACACTGAGCACACGACGCTCAGTCTTGGTGTGCTCCACCTGCTTTCGCTTGAGCAAGTGGGACTTGGTCAGGATCTTCATGGCGAAGACTTTGCTGTTGTTCTTCTTGCGCACGAGCGTTACCTTGCCGAACGAGCCCTTACCGATCACGCGGATGAGCGTGAAGTCCTCGAGGCAGATCTTGTCGTCGAAGTTGGTGCTCTCCACGAGCGCATTGAGCTCCTTGGCCAGCGCGCCGTTGTCAGACGCGGGGGCTTCGTCGAGGGAGCTCATGGTCTCTGTTGTCTGTGTCTGTGTCTAGTAGATTCCTAAGACGAGAGGAATAACGTACTCTACGCTCAAAAGAACGGGAACTGGCGCAATGAAGCACGCGACGAGTCTCAGCGGCCACACAACACGGCGACGGCGACGGCGATGGTGCTTAAGTACGTCTCACTCGCTATCGCTGCAACGCCAAAGTGATCGTGCACTTTCTCGTGATGTCGTCCGGCTTGGCTACTTTCCGCCCTGAACACTCGGCTGTATCTGGCGCCACTCGAGTTGCTCGCTGGTCGCCTCTGGATATTGCCACAGTGCTCTCCGTCCTCTGTCTGGCCCTTGATGGTCCGATCTCCTCTCCCTCCCTCTGGCTCGACGTGGGTCTTTAAATCCGTAGAAACCTCCGCAGGTTATGGTTCATAAAAACCGTCATTTGGGGGCTTTATGAACTAAAATAGCCAAAAATAACAGGGTTTTATGATCTCAAAAACATCCCAAAACCCAGATGCCTATTGGTGCTGGCTCGATTGCTAAAAAAAAGCCTGTGAAACGGCATACCGCCTGGGACTGATTTTGATGTACGGCACATCGATGGTGCATAGACGTTGCGATGTTAGCCAAGTCCTTTGAGACCAAGAACGCCGAGCAGCAATGGCAGACGATCTATACGAAGGCGAGAGCGACGCTACGTCCTCGAACATCAACCGCGCGTTCCCGACGCACCCAACATGGGACCAGCGGCGTCAACTAGCTGTGGACATCTCTAACCTGGCGCCGCCCGACCTTCCGGGCGTGCTGCTTCTCATTCGCAATTATGTTAAAGTACTCGAGATGCGGGAGTTACTGCCGCACGAACAGCGCGTGTTGCCCTGGGAGGCGCAGCAGCAGCAAGAGCAGAAGACCATGCCCAGTAAGGAGGATTCTGACGCCATCCAGTTGCAGTGCGGCTTCCGGCTGGACCACGCAGACGTCGAGCTGTTGCGCCAGCTACGTCAATACGTGGACGACTGCTACGTGCCCCATTTCGTGCCCAAGGAGAACTGCAGCATCTGCGAGGGCCTTTGGTCTTGTGGTCGTGTGCTCTACTGCGGCAACGACGCGTGTCCAGTCCGAATCCACGAAGAATGCTTCGGCGTGGTCTTGCGCGAACAGGACGACGGTCCGTGGCGATGTCCGTCGTGTCTACTAGGTAGACAGCTCATGTGTGCGGTCTGCATGCAATACGGTGGGCCACTCAAGCCTCTGGCCATGTCGGAGTCGTCCTCCGCTGACGAACAGAAATGGGTGCACGTGCTGTGTGCGCTCGCCATTCCAGAACTAATTATGAGAGATGTACCCAGTATGGAACCGGTGGACGGCTTCGAAGAGATCGAGAACGGGAGATTCAGATACCTGTGTGCTATCTGTCGGAAGCGTGGCGGCGCCTCAGTTATCTGTGAGGCGGAAGGCTGTAATGTGGGTGTACACCCGCAATGCGCAGCCGACGCCGGACTTATGATCGGCAACGAAGGCAACCTGCTTGGCGTGTACTGTGATAAGCACTTGCCCACCTCGCGCATTCCTGGAGCGAAGCGCTGGATCAGTGATGAAGACCTAGTGGAAGAGATTATGAGCGAGTACTCGATCGACGAGGACTTTGACGCAGACGACCTCGACACGCCTCACTACACTGACGCTGAACGCTACGCTTTCGTGCTGGAGTCGACGCCGTATTTGCACTGTCAGCAGCAATTACTAGGCGCTTCTGCTACCCTTCACTTCGGGCCTTCTCTCTTTTCCGCAGTTTCCACTCCTCCAAGTGATATTGACCGCAAGACGTTCGCGGGGGCCAAAATCACTGCAAACGCTTACGCTCCGCCCGCTATGGTGGTTCAAAGTATAAACACGCAACGGCCAATTACTTTTCCGCCTCCATCGCTTCATGAGCGACTGGGTCTGCCAGACTTTCCAAAGGGGAGGCACGTGGTAGGTGCTGTCGTGGACTATTTACCCAAGGCGCAGGAGGAGTGGCAACGTGCTCGTGTGATGCAATGGGACAAGGAGAAGAAGATGCATCTCGTGCACATTGTGACGTCTGATCAGAAACTATGGGCCAAACTGGACGTGGACAATACATTGATTTTGTATCTTCCGGACGAGGAGAATCGCGTGGATGGACCGATCGTGAAGCTCATTCGTCCAGTCACCCAGGGCGCCGTGCAGTGGCGTCCAAAGCCGCGTCAGTTCGCACCAGCAACATGAATGACGTCGTCGATTTAGGAAAAACCAGGATGATAGCTGGTCGAGCATGCAGGACATAACTGCAAAATTTATCTATATCATGGTGGAAACTGCTGGACCTTGCCTCAGTTCGCTCTATTACCATGTCGCTCGGTTAGGAAGACATTCTCGAATGAAGAATCCCCAACTGCCGCTAGGATATCTAGCAGAGTTGAAGCTGCCAGCGTCTGGTCTCATTTGCGACGTAGTATCTTTGCTTAGGTTTGCCAGTTGCCAAAATGCACTGGAGCAAGCAAGTCGTGTCGAAAATGCTCCGTTCGAACTGGGATTTGGTGTCGCCGCTGGAGTGGCTGGACTCTTTTCTTCCCTCACTCACGCACTCAACATCCGAGTGAGGACGAACCGATGGTGGAGACTGCCCAGCAAGAGCAGGAGGGTGAAGAAGAAGAGATGGAGACTGAGGACTTACCTACTGTGAAGTCGATGGCCAGCAACTTCTTCGACGACCTTCCCGTCGGCGCGAAGCTCATGGACACGCAGGTGCCTCCGAACGTGTCGCCGCCCAAGTCCAAGACCAAGGATGGCTACTCCTTCTTCACGTACGCGTAAAGCACGTGTCTGACCGCAGATGACCGCGTGAACAGCGCCCGCCGCCGCAATGAGGACTCAGCGGGGCGACTGAAGGCGCAGCACAAGCGCCAGATCGGCACCTGCGCCCTCGAGTCAACGTGGCAACGCGCGTCCGAGCAGAACGAGGGATCGCACGATCATAAGGTGTCGTCTGGGACGGTGGAGACCTTTGAGCAGGCCTGGAAGCGCACGTCCTCCGATGTCGCCGAGGATCAAGCTAAGGCCCATGGCGCCAAGCAGAGCGTGTTGCCCGACCAGCCCCCGGCTCAAGAGCTGCCTTGAATGGGTTGCATGTTGAAGTTGACTGTGATTGTTGTCAGACAAAGATGAGCGAGAGAAATCACTAACAAATGTATTCGTTCTTTCAACCTTGACTTCGTTGCCTTGAGTCGGCCCTTGACCTTCAATGGGCTTGGATCAACACAACAATGTTGCCTTCAATAACATACTTTTGCTCAAGTGTATCCGTAGTGTTCGATTTTCCAGCTGTACCCTCACTTTCAATTCGGCAGTGAACACGTCGAGCCTGACGTGGGAACGCCAACTGACCGAAACGTGGAGATTCTCTTCGGTGTGGCGCTGCAGGCCAACAAAACGCTTGAGAACAGAGACACCTCCACGCCCAGAATCCTACGCTTCCTGGGCGCGTAATACTGCGACAGTGGGGCGTGCAATCGGTTTCTGTCGCCCTTTTACTGCTACGGCTTTGAAGTTCACATGCTTCAGTTCCTATTCAGCCGCAAAGAAGGTAAGAGCAAGAGAGACAAAAAGAAGAAGCAAAGCAAGACCAACGATATGCAGAGCAGCGAGCCCAGCCCATGTCCCATGTTCGCCATGGTGTGCGCCAACAACGTGAACCGCAGCGCCGCCGCCCACGAGATTCTAAACACCGCAGGACTGCGCGTTTGTTCCTATGGCGCTGGACGTCAGGTGACGTTCCCAGGCAAAACCATCTCCGACGCGCGCACCTTCAAGTTCCTCACGCCCTACTCGGTCATGCACAGCATCTTGGAGAAGGAGGATGCCGCGCTGTTCACAGGCAACGGCGTCCTTCAGATTCTGGAGCGAGACATCCCACTTAAGAAGGCACCGGAGCGCTGGCAAAGCCTCAGCAACAAGCAGCTCATGGATATCGACGTCGTCGTGTGTCTGGACTACGCCATGTTCCTCACCGTGCTGGAAGGTAAGGCAGTTGGCCTCGATCATTATTATCCATGTCTACTTGCGGATTTGCTAACGTGACTGTTGTGCATTAGACATTCAGATGCGGATTCGACTAAGTTTCAAGACCAAACAGCTTCATATTATCTGTCTCGACACCGTGGATACACCAGAGGATGCCTTGACTGGAGGTGAGCGGGTACTTGAGCTCTGCCGAGAGCTGAACGTACCGGTAACCGAGCTTACAGAAGAATTTGTCAAGACGATGGTGGAGAAGTTCGAGAAGGAGCACGACCAGCAGATGTTCTATCTGGGGCTACACATGTGAGCTTCCTTGCGCGTCATCAGTAACAACACGAGCACGACACGGACTCTGGAGAAGATCTCCAGACGCTCGCTCGACACTCTTATTATTGTGGAAGAGGTGCTACGCAGTAAGCAGAGCACCGACATCGCCACAGAAGCTCAATGCTCTAGTTTTACCTTATCGTTAATTCAGAAGTGTACACTACAAGGAGCAGTAAGACTGTTTGTTTGAAATGCCCTTGCAAGGCAAGTGTTGCTGCAATGCAGACAGACGCACCGAAGCCTTGGCGACCTTCAGCATTAGCAGACTATGTACCCAACTTTGCTTTATCTTGCTCGCGATCCTCTCAATGTGGCCGGCATCGTTGGCAAGCCGCCCCAGGATCAGCTACATCGTCCAATGCAGTTTGTCGTTGCGGTGGTGTCTACAGTGCAGATGCACTACGGGCACGTCCTGTAGCAGAACAAGGCAAGATTACAGACTGGCCAAGACATGTCAGCAAGTGACTCACGTGAGACCGGAACGACACCAGTCACGAAGACGGTACGAATATGACGGCATGACCCTCGGCTTCTTCATATTGTCGACTCGCGCATCAGACGTGGGGCGTTTGAATTGGTCAATGCGAGCCGGGCGCAACGAGCAGAGACCGAGGCGGCAGTGCCGGTGACAAACCATTGCGTCGTCTACATGTACTTCCAGCCGGAGCGCTTCAAACTTCAAATGTTGCGCCTAGGACACAAAAGAGACGGTTCCATGATTCCGGATGGTGAAACAATCACAATATTCAAATTAAAAAAAAGAAAGAAACATTTCCATAGATGTTTTTTTTTTTTTTACTAAACCGTTTGCTGTATAATAGCATACCGTTTTCGTAGACTTGTGTTTTGGTAGCGCATGATATTAATATCTTTTTCAAGAAGCGTGGTCATTTCGGCTGCCCATTAGCAATGTTTAGCTAGCTTCCTCAGTGATAAACTGCATGGTACTTGTACTTTTGAGTCAAAAGTTTTGACCTCTGGCCGAGAGATCTGGGAGCGAGACGACGATGCCGTGGTGTTGACTGGAACCGTCTTGTGGTCACTCTGGTCATGTCGGAGGTGCATTTCGATACTGCTATGCAGCGCCAGCCATGCATTTGCAAACAGATTGACGCACAGAGCATCAGCAGAGTAGTATCGTGGCTGAGCAAGCTGCGAATTTACACTTGCATACGAAAGCGCATGCGTGCGTACTCACAGTATCAGAAAGAAGCAAGTATCTTGTCAGTTGTGCGCGGATGAGCGGGGCAGCAATGGCAGTTAGACCATGACACTTTCGTGGGCTTCCCTTCATGACGTTCCCAAGCAGCCTTTGTAAGCTGCCGCCTGGTTTGACCGACCATTCTCAACCAAATTTCCTGGGACGTCTTAATTGTTTCACTATTGCGCCCGATCTTCTTCTCTGATCTACGAATTCATTATCTACTTCAATTTATTTTCTTGATTAAACAATGTAAAAATCGGTAGCAGCAGGCATCTTTTACCCTAGCCGTAAAGACGGCATGCTAATACTTGCTCTTTCACCAGGCGGTGGTTGATGGCGCAAAGCCGAGACTTACACATCCACAACTCGGTTCCGTGCCCAGGTGTCGGCCTCACATCGCATTAAGAGCTCCGACGAACGCTTGAGCTTGAGATGCCACCCGAGCCCAGGCATCGCTCGCAGCGCCACCGCAGCGCGTCGCGGCCGCGCCAACGTGAACGCTCGCCGTCGCTCGAGCCTTCGACACGCCGCCGTCCTCATCAGGATGCCCGCCCGTCCTACTCGCCCACACGGGATCGCTCCGAGCGCTCCCGTGACCGCCTCAGACAAGACACGCACCAGCGCGCCAAGTCGCGGCCGCCCGGGTCGGGACGCGGCAGTCGCGATAGCCGAGGCAAAGCCAGCATCAAACGACCACGTGTGCGTTTCAGCATGATCGACGCTGAGGGTGCAGCAGAGACACTGACTGCCAAGGCCACGCAAAGCGGATTTCTACGCAAGCAAGCGGACAATGAACCGGGCGCATGGAATGAATATTACTTTGTGATCAAACCCCTGACATATCTTTTCTACTACAACACAAAAGACGATGAAACACCGCGAGGAATCATCGACCTCGAGTACTTGACAGACATCAAGCGCAACGCAGACTGCCTGCAACGCGCAGTAGGAGGAGGAGACAACTGTTTCCGAGTCTCAGGCAAGCTGCCGCGACCATCAGCGGAGCAGACGGCCACAGGTGACATCCCAAAGATGCGTCCGCTGTACTTGGACACGGAGGACGCCGACGCCGCGGAAAAGTGGATGAACGCAATTCGGAACCACCGCTTCAGCGCCAAGAAAGATGAACAATTCTTCGAAATGGTGCACCAACTGCGAGATGCAGAACTCCGTGTTGCACAGCTAGAGGAGGATCAGCAAAGAGAGGCTGAGACCAAGAGGAATCTTAGTGTCAAGGCAAAAACTCTGTTGCAAAAGATGCGAGCAGTTGACAGTGGCAACACCGACGAACTACCAGAAGTGAACGCCGACGATTTGGATGATACTGCAGACGATATGTTGGCTATGTTGGAAGGAATGGAGGACGTACTGGTTAATCTACAGGCGAAACTGGACCAGCAAAAACAGGAAAAGAAAGCAGACACCACAGGAACGACGAGCACCCGTCGAGGCTTTGCGCAAGTGATTCAACGTGCCGTGTCCAGACGTGAGAACACCAGCTTTTTGGAGCTATCCGAGGACGAGGAAGAGGAGACGCTCGCTGCTATCAGAAGCAGGAGACAACGTAAACCTCAGCCACCAGTAATTCAGGAACAACCGAAGGAGAAACCAGTGGAAAAACCTAAGGGAAAGCCAGTGGAGAGACCCCCAAAGGAAAAACCAGTGGAGAAATCAAAGCAGAAGTCAAAAGAAAAGGTTCAAGAGGAGGCACCAGCTCTGGACAATGTGTCGGATGTGTTGGCAATGTGGAAGGCAAAGAAAAAGAAGAAAGACCCGTCTTCGAGAAAGCAGTCTGCACCTGAGAATGATGACGATGAGGATTCGAGAAGAAACAGGAACAGAGCGTTGCCGCGGACGACGACACCGGATACCGCCAAGTATAAAAAGAGTCGAGGTAGCGACCGATCGTCGGAGGAAGACACGGTCTCACTTGATTCGTCGGACGATCGGGACTCGGGGGAGAAGCTCCCGCCTGGCTGGACTAAACACGAGAGTCGTGGATACCCTGGCACTTACTACTACGCTCACGAGTCTGGTAAGGTCAGCTGGGACGTACCGACCGACGACATGATTGATAGCGGACGTGGTAACACCGACAGTGACAACAATGAGCGCCACAGCGATCATGACGACCACAGCGAAATTGATGACTACGATGTGTACGATGAATACGACAATGATAACAACGATCTCCATGACCACGACCATCATGAAGAAGTGGACATTTATCCCGATACAAACAGGAGCGGCACTGAATATATGAGCGAATACGAGACCGATGGAGAAGAAACTGCGGGTGGCACCACGTCGGCCGCGTATCGGAAGAACAAACCCAAGCCAAAGCCCAAGTCGGCGTGGGCTTTCAAGCTCCCCAAGCTGCTACCAACAAACACGACGCAGGCGGCGCCAACGGAAGCTGCCGCCTCGCTCTCTCCCATCCGTCGAGCTGCCAACAATCACGAGTTTTGATCTTCTTGTTGTTGTCTCCGTCTCTCCACAATTGCCGTTCCAAGGCCCTAAACTAACGAAGTAATAAAAGCCTGTCGAGTTTAATACCACCTAAAAGCAAGGAAGTAAGACACACGCAATGGAAACAAAAGCTGCATAACGCCTCATTGACTAGTAGAACTGAATAACTAGGAGGTTGACTGCCACCCTTGGCTCAGAAGAGTCTTTCAATAATTCCTGGTGATTCCTGCCCGCTCGACATCTTCAGCTCCTTCTCGCCCGTGTCGTCTTCTGTTTTGCCCACATATTAATGTCACTGTAGCTGTTTTCTCTCTGACTGCTGTGCTGTGCGCGTCTACAGCTTGCGGCGCTCTTCGGCCGGGAACTTGATGTGGTTCGAGCTCGAGTACAGCGCGATGGGGCCAGCCACAGCCGCCAGGACAACAAGTGCCACGCCGGTGTTGCGCTGCCAGTTCTTGGTCTTAGCCCACCAGCCGCCGGCCGGGGACCACGTGTACTTGGGGTACGGATACTCGCCGCCGCCGCTCATGTCTGTCCAAAGGTGTCCGAGCTGAAGGAGACTGTGCGGCTGGGAGGGCGAACAACCGGAATTCGGACTTAATATGAATCGCACCTAATCGAGAACAATTTAGAGGCTCTAAATTTGAAACACAGGATCGAAGATATTTTTTTTGACTATTTGACCGTTTCTGTCCATGTAAAACTATTTAAATAAATTTACCAAAATCAGATTTTTATTATGATTTAGCCCTTCAAAGTGAAGATGTGGTTACTGGCCACCCGAACGCCTTCATCACAGGGAATTGGTCAGCCTCGTCATTGCGGTGACTCCACTTGCCGTTCGTCTTGGAGTTAAGGTGGATATCGACGGCCAGCATGACCGTGCTGTGGTAGATCTGCAGCCGGTTGCGCTTCGCAGAGTCCTTCTCCAGCCATGAGAGCGACTCCACATCCGGTACAAACAACTTTTCCGGCAACACATTGTTTAGAATCCCCACGAGTGAAAGCAAAACATCCGACGCTCCCGTCTGAAATGGGATCTCCACACTTGTACCGGCTTGCCCATATCCTTCACGCATGTTGAAGTATCTGATACCGTGTCGAATTTTCGGCTTGACGCTGAAATACTCGCAGTTGGTTTTGGCACAAAGTTTCTCGGCGGCTGCGATGAGTCCGTTGACGTCCTGCTCCTTGGCGCCTCGAAATACTGCAGCTGTTCTACCTACATTGCACCAAGGGGTCATATCGGAAACTTCGGTGGCGATTACTGCACCACCCGACGGACATGCGTCCAGCTTCAGCAAGAAATCCTCGATATCTTGTGGAGTCTCAGCGTACACGAGCGTATCGATCGGCTGGTCCACATTCGCCACCTTGTTGCCTCGACCTAACTGGTGGTCAAATATGAACTCTCTCAAATCTAGTGCTGATCCCTTAGTCGCTGCGTACTCCTTGCTGGGTAATGAGGGAGCTGAGAAGGCCACTTTCCCCCCGTACGTGTTCAAATTCAAATATTTCCTCATCACATGGGAAAGATGCATATCTTCCGATGTCGCCCAGGACGGCATGCGCTCCTTCATAAAATACTCAAGCCACGTCTGTTCCAGAAACCACATACCACTGAGGTAGTCCTGCTCCTCCATGTCGGTGACTGCGAGATCATATCCAACACTCGGCCAGCTTCTGTAACCTTCGAACGTCGCTGCTCGCCGATGACCGAAGTTCCCCCACACACCCTTCTGGCGCTGCATGTACTGGATGTAGTCATACACAGTCGTGGAATCAATGGGACGGTCGTCATCCACGATCAAAACGTACTTGGTCGTCGCCATGTATGCCAGCAGGAAGCGTCCGTGAAACTTATGGTTAAAGTCGGATGTTGTGACTTTTATTTGGCTGTCGCGGTCAGGATATTCGATACGGATAGCACTGACGACGGTCTCGTACAAGTGCCACTTTGGTGAGTTGAAGCACATGATCCACACTTCCGGTGGCACCACATTCTCTTGATTGAGAGCTGCCTCGAGTTGTGTCCTTAGCGCCTCTGGTTCACCTCGGTAGACGTTGAAGACGATGGTAGTTGACGTGTCGTTGGTGTCGAAGTTGGCTGTGTAGAACTCTTCGTTCATTGCCAAAGTCTCGCGAGTAGGCTCAGTTGGTTCAGCAAGCGAGCTGTTCGCCATGGTATGAGGTTGACCGTTCTGCCGGAGAATTGGAGAATGCTTGAGTGACACGATGTTGACGTTGTGAGCTTCTCCTCCGATTGCTTTGAAGACCCAAGTGCCAATCATGAATCCCATGGAGAAGCAGATGAGTAGCCACGCGACGAGACCGAAGTGCGCTTTGAAGTCGCGATGAGAAGGCTGTTTCATACTAGCGCTGATGTTAACGGGAAATCGCTTCGGGGTAGCAGATTTCGAAGTGAGTTCGGGACGGGGCGCTAGTAGTTGAAATGCTATCGGTGTATCAATTTGGCGGCCTATTGAAACCAGTAGCGTTCACGTGGTAGCGATCGACGCAAGTATGACGGCTCTATTCTATCGAATTATGAGTCAGGGTACAACGTAATGTAGTAAAAGGCTGAATGGATTACCTCAACTGTTTCACTCTGTTTGTAAACAAATAATACGGAATACTAGTACGAAATTGATTTGATGTCCTGTATTTTGCAGTTTTGACTCAATGAGTAATACGAAATAGTTTATTATTGAGGTAAACCAGTTCGTATTACTCGACATACAATTATCTTAGTTCGGATTAAGGGCTGAAACTTTCGAGTAATACGAAATGGTTTATTATTGAGGTAAACCACTCGCCAGTCTTCTACTGCTTGGCATGGCCACATTGGGTTTGCCTCGAATGGTTGTAGTGTAGTTTTTCTTTGAATCCACATCTGGCCGTTCAACTTCTGTTTCGAACACTCAAGTGCGTACCATCATTCGATGAAACTCAACATGATGAACATGTAAGGTAGTTGTGTAGTTCGTCATATTGACAAAGGACAGAATCGCGGCATCGCTGGATTCTATTTTGGGGATCAACTGGCAAAACTTCAAGACATCTCATCTTTGATAAGCAAAAAAGGCAAAAAAAAATATTGTACGAGCATCCAAAGCTATGACGGGTAAGTAACAGGATCCTGTGTCGAGGCTCGCTGCCATATCAAAGTCTCCATCTCAGTTGGGAAGTCGTCGGTAATAAGCCACTCGTCTTTCACCTCACCATCTATCACCTTGCCGTTCGTCTTCGAGTTCCGGTGAATATCCACAGCCAAAAGCACCGTGCGGTGGTAGATCTGCAGCCGGTTGCGCTTCGAAGCGTCCGTCTCCGGCCACGACATCGACTCCACGTCTGGCACAAACAACGTCTCGGGCAACACATTGTTCAGAACTCCCACCAGTGACAACAGCACATCCGACGCTCCTGTCTGGAACGGGATCTCCACGGTTTGGCCATAGCCTTCACGCATGTTAAAGTATCGGATACCATGTCGAATGTGCGGCTTGACGCTGAAATACTCACATTTGGTCTTTGAACAAAGCTTTTCAGCCGCTGCGATGAGGCCGTTGACATCTTGTTCCTTAGCTCCGCGGAACACAGCAGCCGTCTTTCCACCCTCACACCACGGCCCTGAAACTTGTGTTCGATTGGCATCTCCGACATGTACCGGGACGCTGTTATTACTCGATGGACACGCGTCTAGTTTCGCCAAATAGTCCTCGATATCACCCACAGTTTCAGCGTACACAAGTGTCTGGATCGGGGGATCGACACTAACGACTTTGTTGCCACGTCCCAACTCGTGGTCGAAGATATATTCCCGAAGATCCAGTGCTGATCCTTGTGTTGCCTGAACCTCCTTGGGTTTACGTGGAAGCGTCTTCCCGAGCGCTACTCGACCCGCGTACGTGTTCAAGTTAAGGTACTTGCGCATGACATGTGAAAGGTGCATATCCTCCGATGTAGCCCAGGATGGCACACGCTCCTTCATGAAATATTCCAGCCAGGATTGCTCCAGGAACCACATTCCACTGAGATAATCCTGCTCAGCCCACGACTCGCCCGAGAAATTTCGAGGCCAGCTCTTGTAACCCTCGAACGTCGCTGCTCGACGGTGTCCGTTATTACCCCACACTCCTTTCTGGATCTTCATGTACTTGAGATAGTCTTTCACAGTGTCTCCATCGATCGCCTTGTCATCGTCGACAATCAGCACGTACTTGGTCGTAGCCATGTATGCCAGCAGGAAGCGTCCGTGGAATTTGTAGTTGAAATCGGACACTGTAAACTTGACATTGTGAGCCAGATCAGGATATTTGCGTTTGACGGCTTCAACCACGTGTCGGTATTTCTTCTCCATGGGCGAGTTAAAGCACATGACCCAGACTTCAGGCGGTGACACGTTCTTTTGCGTTAATGCCTTCAATAATTGCACTGCTAACGCCTTGGGTCTGCCCTTGAACACGTTGAAGATGATGGTAGTGGACGTATCAGTCTCACTAAAGTTGCTCGTGTAGAACTCCTCGCTCATCGGCAAAACCTCTCGACTCGGCTTCACCTCAACTGTGAAATCTTGGAAAACCGGTACAGGTTCCGCTGCTGGGAGCTTGAGTAAAACTTGTTGCGAGTACGTATCAACAACATCCTGACTACGGATGAGAAATGGTCGATTGTGGGCAATGTGCTTGTCCAACCCAACAAGTGATGTCACAAACCAGCACACGAACAAGATCCACCCTCCACCGAGAAGATAGAGAGCTCGAGGTCGTTGCCAAACTGCATGGACGTAGCCAAAACTGTGTCTTCTGGACTCCATTGCAGTCCCGTGGAAAATTGGTGAATGAGCCATCGTGTCAAAGGATCCAGTAGTGGTGGGCAAAACCACCGTTTGAATCCGAAACCTACCGGAAACTACCAGCCTCATCCCATGCATGACTCGACACACGTCGAGCAACGTCATCCACTGGTTGATGGAGCTGAAAATTCATCACGGCAGTTGGCACAGATCCAAGAAAACCACGCACTGGTCTACTATATATTTAGTCCTCAGTCCCCCACCTGCTTCACTTGCCTATTGCTACCAAGAGCAGGATGTTTTACCTTGAGACTTGTGGGTCTGTTCAACCAGCTCACTGGAAGGTCTTTCGCTTGCCCATACGCTCGAACTGCGCCACCATGCTGCACGTCCGCGCAGCGAGATCGCGCGTCTTGTCGATCACCTGGCGGTGGACTGAGTTCTGCGGCATCCCCATGACGATCCGGCCTTCCTGAGAGTCGATCTTGGCGTCGAGACGTGCGTTCCGGATCAAGTTGACGATCCACTTCTCGGCCTCTCCGTCCTCCTGCATGGCCAGTTTGGACGACAGCACCTTCATGTCGATCGTGCGGTGCACACGGCAGTACATCTCGAAGATCGCGAGACGCGCGGCCTCCATGAAGTCCGTCGAGTTCTTCTCGTACAGGAAGAAATCACTGGCCAAAACCACTTCGCACTCGCGCAGTTTCTCCTGCGCAGACTCAAAGTCGAAGTTGACGAACAGACAGTCCACAAAGTCCACGATCGGGTCACGGTAGCCCTTGTCGTCCACGCGGAGGATACGCAGCAAGTCCTTAATGAGGTTGCGACGACGCTTGTGCAGGATCACGCCGGCGCACAGATAGCGCAGCAGCCACGGCGCGTTGCTCTGAATGGCCTCCACACAGCGAGACTGCAGCATAAAGTCCACGATAGCGTCACGTCCCTCCTCGTGCCACGCGAATACAAACAGCGACCAGTGCAGGAGCCACGTGCGTTGCTGAAGCTGCTCCACGGGGCTCATAACAGTCTGTCATGTATGTGTGGCAACAGAAACGTCAGTTATCTGGCAGCGTAGAAGAATGATGATATTTGCACGTACGCTGCTCTCGATGACGTCGCTGATGCGGGAAATGTCGGCCAGCGCGTCGTCCCAGCGGAAGATGAGGATCTCGGCAGCGAGCTTGCCCCACAGAGCGTTCAAAAACTGCTCGGACGAGTTCGGGATGAGCACGCCGTAGTACGTGAGGTACGTGAGGCAGTCCTGGTAGTTGCCGCACTCGTACTGCAGCTTGGCGTACTTGTACAGGCCGTCCAGGACAGCGGGCGTGATCTGTCAGTAGTAACAAAATAGTAATAGTAGTTGTCAGAACCTGTATGCTATACGCAACTGGGCACTGTACTGCACGTACGCCCTCGTTCTGCTCGAGGTGGCTGGCAGTGAGCAGATTCTCGCTCTGCAGCTGCATGATCTTCTCCTCATCCTCAATGAGGTCCAGCATGGGGCTACATTCGCTCTTGGCGAAGCTCAGAGCATCCAGGATCTCGCCACGACGCGTCTCGAACTCCTCGGGCACCTCGTCCGAGTTGTGCAGCGTCTGGTGGATCTCCACGGCAAAGTCCGCCATGTTCGTGGGCTTCAGCAGCGCCAGTTTGGCCGCCATCAGCTGCGCCTCGTCGTACAATTCGCTGCTGGAGAGGAAGTCGATGAGCGGGAACATGAAGTGCAGGTCCATGAAGGGCGCCAGGCGGTTCGTCAGGTCGAACTTGGCATCGGGAGGCACGCTAACGCCGGGCGCGGCTGCATCCGTCTCGTCGTGGCTACTCATTGCTGCTTGGTTGCCAGGAGCTGGAAAGGGAGGAGGGGAAGGAGGCGGTCGAGCTGCGGCTTGGACCTGGGAATGGCTGGTTGGCAAAAAACTTGGCGCTGCTCCTTAAGTTGTACGCGTAGAGCAACTTGCGTCGGAAACCAGTTGTCAGACTTCTACCGGTAGATGACTAAAATGCCGGTTGTACCGGTAGAGGATCGCCAACCTGGATATACCGGTAAGCCTGTATTTTCGGCAGTTTCTCCGAAAATACCGGTGCCGTTATTGTTGACTAGCCTTCAATTGACCAATCAGCGTCAGGTGTTAAAAAGCACTTTGTTGAAATAAAATGCTTCTTTAATCAATTGACACAGTCACATTCTACACGATTAAATAAAATAGCTGTAAACGTATACAGATAAGATTTAATCTCTGTAAAACTAAATATGCAAGCTCAATTGTGCCTAACATTAATTTCGAGACTAGCTCGCATAAGTTTACTGATATATAGTTTAAATTTGTATAACAAATTTGTTTACAGAGATTTAATTTAACTTGTATTTAATTGAAGCTGACATAACTTTGTGCACAACTTTTAAGGTCTGTCACAGTACTTGTTTCATCATCGGTACTGTAACGGACAGATTATTGTGCACAATATTTATTTGCGGTCACGGTACTATTCCTTAAAAGAAAACTCAGTTTTTTCCACATGATATCGACGGATGTCTTCTGGTGCTGATGGAAAGATTGTTTATCGAAGGCTTTCTCCTCCCTCTACCATCAATTGAGCCCCATGACCGTATATATAGTTAGCTGAATTTTTTTTAAGAAGAAAACTTTTCTCCCCATTGAGCCTTCTGTTGGCTTCTTATCCTTTCATTGACGTTAACACGCACAGTCTGCAATCTCTTCTTAATTCTTTATTAAACTAGTACGGTAGCATCCCGATAAACGGGTTGCTTGGGGGGGACATAAACCGGGATTACATGTACCACCGGTTTATCGACCCCCCCCCTGTCTAGCGTGTTGCTCGAATACAATAGGGGAAGTCAGTCACTGTTTGCGTTTTTGCCTGTCATATTATGGCACAATTTCTGTGATATTTGGGCGCGATGACCTGTCATTTCAAAAATCACCAAACAGCACAAATAAATAATGACGCAAATGACATTCATTGAATAAATCATTACTTCCTAATGCCACCTTTCTCAACACTCTTCCTGTTTCTCTTCTTTCAGTGCGACGTCAGCCTCATCATTATGAGCGTCATGTTGCGGTACAATCTGAATTGGCGCTGGGAGGTTAGCTTCGTCGCTATCAGAGCCCACCAAATCGATAACCTCGGTCTGTTGTGCCTGCTTGGATCTTTTCTGGTTTGGCCCCGCGTCATTGTCGTCTTGCCCTCGCTTCGGGGTTTGCTTTGGTAGTGGAGGTGGAGGTGTAGACCCGCCTCCCAATTGCCGTCTAATTTCACTGATGCGAGTTGTTTGTAACTGGCGGCGTTGGTCGCGCTCAGCTCGGAGTATATAGGCAAGGGCTTCCACGCACTCGCGATCAGCTTCGTCCGACAACAAGCAGGCCCAATAATACTCGTGCAGGCTCGTGTGCAATCGCCACATGGATCCTTCGGTAGCAGTACTGGTGGGTCTGTTTGTTTCCGAAATGCGCCCATAAGTCTCGTAGGTGGTAATTGCGCATGATCCCGCATGGTTCTCACAGTCAATCTGCCTCTCTCGGCGCGCGCACTCAGGATCTGACATGCTTCATAGACAAACAAAGAAAACAAACAATAGCCCACGATCCAGTTAGTACGCCACTTAATCGTAGGCAAAAGAGATTAGTACATGTTGGTAGCCTACAGAGCAGTGGTCTAACGTTGGCGTTCTCGTTAGTAGCCAGCTCTTAATGAAACAGCAGCAAGTAGCTGTACCAACCTGGAAAAAAAGTTGAAGCGTGTGAGTTTGCGTGGTCTGGAGATCTAGACGTGTCAGCTTGTGGCCACCTTGCACAGAAAACTATAGATTACATCGAACGATCGAAGTAGTTAGTAGTGAGGCTCAATATATCAGCAAAACGACAAGTTATCAACCCAATCAACCTTAACAATCGATTGTGATCTCTTTTGCAGCGCTCTGATGGCAGACGACTTCGCGCCAATCCATACATTTTCCTTCTTTCAGTTAATAAGAT